AGCCTCGCCCTCCTGGGAGGGATGCTGTCATTGCATGTCATTGCTGTAAGTAGATAAAGTCTCTATGATGTCTTATTATTGCTTTGTCCCTGTATGAGAGACAGTTTAATTGTCATTGTAGGCATACAACAAAATTATGTTTGTTAAGTCTCAGAGACCAGCTGCAGTAGAAAACAAGATAAATGTATGTTCCATTAGGAAGGGGACTTGTCTATCCTCTCAGTGGGTTTCCTATCAAAGCCTCTATGTTTTTTTATAAAACTCCAGGCTCCAAGGTCAGAGAGGCAAAAAAAACACACCAGAGAATCACAGAAGAACTTTTATTTGTCATTTGCTTATGGATAATAAACACATTAACGTCTAGTGTTAGCGACAAGGCGTTTATGTCTGTGATTGCAGTGTCTTCTCCTGAAAGCTCTCATTGCTCTGCGAACAATTTCACTGCATGATGGGCCAATTTTACATTTGTGAGCTGTTTTTTCTCAGAGAGAGACCAGACATCAGGGAAATGACAGCACTAATGTGCCTTTAAGGCCAATGGCCAGACCTCCACTCTTTCCTCAATTTAGCACTTAATTTATTTATTTACTTATTTATTTGTGCCGAAGGTTATTGCAGACAACAGCAAATATACAGTCGGGGGAAATTGCACCCTCAGAGATTGAGTCTGAAATCCCACACGACCTTCTCAGAAGAGAGTACAGGGCATAATGAAGGAACCTGGTGAAAAGACGAAAGTCAAAGCCAATGTGCTGAGAGCTGGTCGGGGTTTAGACTAACAGTAATGGCACAGCAAGCAGCATCAAGGACGGATCTTAAACCCTAACACGGCCATTGATCCCATTATATTCAGACCTCTGGTCTCTCTAGTTTCTGCTGTATTGGAGATTACTTGGACTCTGGCCTTGGATGTCAGAGGAACAAAGCTTTACTGAATGGGTCACACAGAGAACGGCTCAGTGCATTTTACGCAGGAGGGGAAAAAACAGAAAAAGTATGCTCTAGGCTTCTGTTCTACTTTGATGTTGTTTCCCCTGTTTTATTTTTACCATCTCCCATGTTAACAATTCTGCGTCTTATTTGCACTCTCCTTTTTATGTTTTCCCGACTCTGTGTTTGTGACCTAACCTAATGTATCAATGCTGCACGACCCAAACCCCACCCTCAGTTTATCATCCTCCTTTTCTTTCTTTGTCTGTTGTGGTTTGCCACAGATAGTGTCACCTACAGCCCGTGACCAGGTTGTAGTCCAGCAGTGCTCTGTATGAATTATGATGTGCTGGATCATTCCTAATCTTGTTATGGATGTTCTTTTGCCCTTGGGAGGGGCATCAATGGATGGATGGAACTTTATCAGATTTCACAGTGCTTTGGGGTGTAATTCATGAAAGATGCTGTCCTGTGCGCGTGTCAGGGACATGCATGGTAGCACTAAACACAACGTTTAATTCATTTTCCAGCATTTACCTTTTAATAAAATATAAACTTAAAAACCGAAGAGGAAGCAGAGTAAAACGATGAAAATGTCACAAGACAACAAAAGAAGACAGTTAATGAAATATGAAAAATAAAACACATCAGTGTGATCTGTGCCTTCAAACATTCACCCTAAAACAAACCAGGAGGACCATCAGATGAAGGTGAGTTTTAAAAAGTCACTTAAAAGATACTGGTGTGTTTATAACCAGATATGCTCAAATATGTAGTTCATAGCTGAGGGGCCCATATAAAAAAGGCCACCTGTGGTAACCAAGCAATTGGCTGGAACAAGTAGGAGACCCCTGCCTGAGAATTTCAAGCTGCCCTGCGACTCATGAGGGACTGACATAGCTGTAATGTAGTTGGGAGCTTGACCATGTAGAGCTTGCACAAATTGCTGACTGGAGCTGATAATGGCTTCACGTAGAAAAACAACAAGTCTGTCAGAAATCTCCTGCTTGTGAAAGCTGTGAAGACTTAAGTGCTGATAACATATTAAAGGTTGCAGCAAAAGTGTACATTCAGGCAGTTGATCATAAAGGTTGATGACGTCTAGTCATGAAGTTCTTTCCTGATAAATCCAAGGATTTCTATGAGTGGCAGGAGCAGCGTCATTTGTTTGTGTGGGCCAGGCAGCAACTGTCACTCTGACCTCTTCTTTACTTCCCGAAAATGACATGGTGGAAGGTAACAGCTTCTTCATTTCCCCAGCTTCTTCTCTAGGTGCTATTCAATGTGTTCCCACCTCAAGGTAAAGCTAAACTGGTCTTAAGGTTAATATTGACTAGTTCATCATTGTTCACACATTTTCGGTGTTGGACCACTTCACAGGTGATCCTTTGACCCCAGCAAGGTCTTATTTCTTTTATCAGAAATCCATGTTTGTCTTGACATGTCATTTACTGACAGGAAATTAAATGGGTTTTATTCTCCCTTTGTCATTTCTGTACTTCCACAGAGCCCTGCAATCATGCTGTGCTGTACTCTGTAGTCGTGGTAGAGAAGGCTGGGCAGAGTGCCAGTGCTGAACGACTTTTCTTGCACCATCATCCTCTAAACTACACTGCCATGCCACACTGTCAGAGAGGAACCTGTTGAAATAAATACATAGAAGTTTTCCCGAATAATTGAAATTCATAAACAGAACAAGTATTGGAACAATCCATTGATTAATTGGTTGGCAGAACATTAATCGCCATCTAATGTTCAAAACTGATACTGATAGACTGATAATAATGGCTATATAGAACATCAGATAAGGGAAAAAAACGTGTTTTCTATGAATAAACTACATGAATTACAAGGAAGGTTTCTTCTCTATTTCTTTTAGAGTTATTCCATAATAGAACAAGTGCATTTTAGGCTTTGATATCCCTTGACTACCCTTTTTGTCCAAGACCTCAATTCTGTTCATCACAATGTTTAATTCATAGATATATTCACACATCACATGCACTCACATACAGCATCTTATTAAATATATGACTTCACCGTTCTTCGATCTGAATCTCAAAGGATTGTTAAAGGGCAGCAGAGCGACCAGTTTGTGTGTCCTCACGTGACATTATAATAACTTGCAGAGTCAACACTAAGGTGTTAATAATGTCTATATATAAAACAAGGGGCACACATCCAGGATATAACCAGCAGTGAGGACAGTACGGCTGCAGCTCCTCAGCCCTTTGCTATTATTTTATGAGTCCCCCGTGGCGATGGAGGGTGCAGGAGAGGAGATGGATACTGAAAGATCTAATTAAGCAAAGCGAAATGAGAGTGCTGAGATCCCCAGCTCAGGACAAGACACAAATCAGACGCTGTTGACAGTGGGCTGCGTGGCAATGGGGCTTTGCAGCAAAGGCCGCACTCTAGCCTCCAGATAATGACCATCCCGACTTCTCTGTGGTCCTCAGTTTAACTTTCTTTATAGCTTGGGGTTAAGGGTTGTGAATCTGAATCTCATTATGTAAAACATCAGCCTGTGATTTTGGGTGTTTTGTCTTATTTGCACTTTAAGTGTTTTTAAGTGGAGGGTGGTGCTGGTGTAGAACCAGAAGACTCCATCAGGTGTCTGGTTTTGAACTTGAACTGTCCACTAAAAGAAAGACTGTGTGTCTGAAGGACAAATAAGAGTTCTGTGCTCATAACTCATTGTACTTATGTTTGAATGGTGAGTGGTTTAGAAGGTGGGAAGATGTTAAAGAGGATAGTTTGTGCTCTCTTTTGTAGGGGATGTTTCCCAATCTAGAGGTGCAGACTGTGTGGGATGTAAAGAATTCCTTCTCTGTCTGGCTATTCAGCATTCACATGCTATTACATCTGAGTGGAGAATAAATGTCTTCAGGACACCTGGCGCCAAGGCTGTGACTGTCTGGTCTCCTGGGCTCATTTCTGACTGAGAACAGAAAGACCTTGGAGTACAAAGACAACAGGCTTGATTATGTGAGTACACAGGAAGGTCTCCCAACATTGTTGTGCTAATCATGTTAGCGGGCACAGACTCAAGGCAGGACAGATGCTAGGCAAAGGGCAATAGGGTTATGTTATCCTGATTAGAGGAGGCTTTCGGGGGTGGGGGGGGAGATGGTTGTGAATCTAGTTTCCTACCTCAGCGTCACCTTGCAGAGGGAAAACTGCCATCGGTTCTTTCTCTCGCTCCGTCTGTCGGCTTCTCCTCCCATCTCTCTCTCTGGTGCGCTGTGTCTCTCTCCAGCATTCACAAAAAGTAGTGCTGTAGCCAGCATCGACTTTGTCTTTTTTAATTCAACAGGGCACATTTCTTTCCCTGTTATCAACCACCTACACACATAGCAGTGGGTTGCTGGAGAATACTTTCATTTTTCTCCTTGTGGATTCACCTTGCTGAAACTGCTTAAAAGCAGATTTGTTCCTTTGTGTCTAACGGTGCTCTGATCAGGATTTTTGGGGCCGATGATGTTTGCTGAAAGCAGTATTGGACAATACACTGATCACGGGGTCTATTTCTTAATACTTCTATTTATTGTGTAGCATTATTTATTTATTTGTTCTTAACAGCATTGTATGTTAAGTATTAACCTCGTTCATTGATCATTTTTTGTTTGCCTGGTCTCCTTGTGTAATAATATCTTGTATAACTTCAACTCCATAATGCACAATTAAGTTATATACGTCTTTATTTTTTTTCAGGACAACATGAGCTATCAGAAATTGTATGCTACAGTGATGTCACATGAATGTATAAATATTTGTGTGACCATAAAAACAAAGGAAAGAATAAAATGGAAATTGAATCACGCAGAATTCTCTCATTCTCATTCTTCTCATTTGAATCAACACACATTAAAAACTACTGATATTTTTCCAGAGAAGTCAGTTTTTCCATCCAAATGCACACTGACTTAAAATAAACAAAAGATAAAGTGTTTCTCGGGTTTAAATAGCATTATAGATGTACATAGATTGGCTTCAAAATCAATCATCTGAACACTATGAAATACATGGAATACTGTGAATAACTGATGCATTTCTTCTGCTCCTCTCAGGATCTTATATGTTGGTGAACTCCTCCCAGCATGCCGTGGGTCATCGTGCTCAGCTGCTGCTGCAGTCGCTGAGTGAAAATGACACGCACTGCGTCCAGTTCAGCTACTTCCTGTACAGTCGCGATGGCCACAGTCCTGGGGCCCTAAGGGCATATGTACGAGTCAACGGCGGCCCGCTCGGCAGTCCGGTGTGGAACACATCGGGGTCTCATGCAAAGCAGTGGCATCAGGTTGAGCTTGCTGTGAGCACCTTCTGGCCTAATGAATACCAGGTACGAGCTTGGTCATCCCCAGCTGGAGATTCCTTATTCTTACATGTGATGATGTATCTGATGTGTCTTCTGTACGCTCTGGGCCTGTAGAGTTTTGACGTGGATTTCATGATGTGTTAATGAAACCTGACGCAAGTTAATCAGTAAAAAAAAGGTTTAATTTTTGCGATGAAGATCTGCAGACCCCATTGACTGACATCTTGTATAGCTGAAAAATGTTACACAGTAAGGCTGTGTTGATCAACACTCATTTTAGCCTGGAGGTGAATCTGGTGTTAATTACTTGCATTTGCAGTTTAATTAGCATTGATTCCCTTGGGAATGTAGCCAATGTTAGCGCTCAAGGGCCTTAACTAGGTTTCACATGGGCATGCCTGGTAGAGATTCTCCCATTGAGGCCTGTGTACAACGTATTTAGCAGACTCCACCAATCTGAATTGCATGTCATTGCGTACTTACATAAAACAAACATTGACTGGCACCTGTGGGTGCCTCATGCTGTGGTCTGTAGAGCAGTCAGGTTAGCATGAGGGATATCCATCTATTAATCCAATTTATTTTTTCTGCAAAGTCTGCAGAGCTGTCAAAAAGCAATCAAGTTGAGTAGTGTGCTCACTTAATTAAGTTCTATTTGGTCCTGTAGGATCTGACCCTCGCAATGTAAATAATAGTCTTTCTTACAAACCAGGGTCAAGATGTAGGGTGACACCGTTCTCCCTAACGTCACATGATCTGAAAATAAGGTAAATTATTGTAGGTCAACAGGAACGAACATACACTCTGTGACACACTCACATTCAAACATCTTTGTGAAAGTTTTATTGAAGTGGTCCCTGCACAAGGACACATACAAAGTGTTCAAGCTTTTTATTTTCACTTGAGAGAAATAATATTTTGAGCTGAGTAGGTATCTGCTACTTCTGGATAATATTAATTGAAAAACTTGTCACTTTGACCAAGGTAAATTAGAGATTGTTATGTTTCATTCGAAAAGATACAGCATCCCATGAGTCTTAACTGGCACATCGTCAAAGCCACAGAGGATTTGTTCTTAAAGGAAAAGTAAGACATTTGGGGAAATAAGCATATTCTCTTTCTTGCTGAGAGTAAGGGAAAATTGATAACACTCTCATACTTGCACGCTAAATCTGAAGCTAGCAACGGGAAACCATTAGCTTAGTTTAGCATAAACACTAGAAGCAAGGGGAAGATCTCAAGATGATAATTAACTAATTTGTACCTCATTAGTTTAATCTGTACAAAAACTGAAGTGTAAAAACAACATTTTGTGGTTTTATGAAGGACTATGTGTGAGTATAAATAGTATAGATGCAGTAACTTCCTGGAGTCTGGTCCTTACCATGAGGTTGCCAGGTAATATTTTTTGTTGGGATTAAACAAACTAGATATGATATGTTAATTAGTGAGCTTTAGCGGCGTTGGAAGTTTTTTTATGTTTGAAAAGAGCCAGACTAACTATTTTCTGCTCTCTACTAAGCTAAGCTAATTGCCTCCTGGCTTTCGCTTCATATTTAGGGTACAGATATGAGACGGGTATTGAACTTTTTCTCCTATTATAAGCAAGAAACTGAATTAGGTGTATTTCTCAAAATGTTGAAATTTCCTTTAAATGCCAACAAAAGTAGCTGTAGTTGACATGTATTTAAAATGAGAACATAAACCAAAGGAGCATACCTTTGAAAGAAACCATCTATGGGGAAAACCTGTTAAGCTACAGATGCTAGTGTAGCTAGCATTTTACTGTATTTTTGGATGTACTGCCAGCTCTACTAATCAGCGCCAGGGCCAGTCACACCTTCTCTTTTTCATGGCATTTTCAGCACAATAGCCTTATTAAATGTATTAAATAGCTGTTGCTCTTATGTTGAATGTTTAACAATGAGTGAGCTGAAAATGGTTGAGTGTGTTGCTAAAGAGGGCTTCACTGCTGATCGATACAGTGAGCAGTTATAAAACAGACTCTCCAACCACTACTCTGCCCTATGACCATATTGGGACAGATAAGTCATGAATATAATAATACCACATATTATCCTGCTTTGTCTTTTTCTGTCTTTGCTCAAGTGCTGTTGAATTTTGCCTGTGTACTCAGCTGCTCTGATCTCCACGTCCACAGTGGAGTTGTGTGCTTTCTTGTCTCACAGTCCTGTAGGCATCCCAGTAAACAGTGATGGCTCATAGGTGAGTCAGGGATGTGCCACGGCTGCCAATGAGCGGCTCCTGTTAGGAGAAAGAGGTTTATAATGGGTTTATGAGGAGGAGTAGATGACTCTGAAGACAGGACAAACAGTACAAGAGAAGGAGATGGGCCTAACACTTAAATTAGTATTGACAGTACAGCCTTTTAATAGAACAGCTTAAACTGCTAATGGCTTAGCTTTTATCTCATAGAGTGAAAAAACACGTTGTTCAAATTTATCGGATTAAATTTATTAGTATTGGGGATTTGGACACCAGGTATTGGCCCCCTAAAGAATACACATCTAATAGTAGGGAAATAAATCAACACTTTCTCTCTGCTTCTTCTCTCATTTCACATTTCACCTAAACACAGCTGACCTTGTGCTGCTTCTCACTACAAAGAAAGCTAAGGAATCTGCCCACACAAAGTGACATATACCACAGCTTACATGGCTAATCCCTCAGCAGTCGAAACCCCTCATCAATGAGGAATGACAGAGGGTCTTGTCTTGCAACACGTCACCGGTCTCTGTTACACAGACAAAACAGAAAAGGGTGACTGGGGACATGTAAGGCTTGATGTTTTCTTTAATAGCATCTTACCGCTTGCTATTCTCTGTTGTTAACCAGCAACAGTGCAATGAAAACAGATAGGTAAACACAAAAAAAGCAGAACAATTGGAGTCTGCTATAGCCTGGTGTGCTTCAGCAGTTCTCTTGGCATTCACCCGGGACTTTTAGCTTAAATTCTAAGGGGTTTTGGTTATATCAGCTCCATAACAAGTCTAATACAATCACTTTGGATTTTAAGTGATAGGCAGCCAGATTTACCCTGTCATTAAACTAGCAAAGCACTCTTTTGAAGCAGAGGTGGAGAATAGGCACTTCTTATCATTGTCTCTGAGTAAAATAAATCCCAGGATGATACACATCATTTTGGAGACGGTTTTCAAATCTGCAGGTTTTTCCGACTTATTAGATTTCAGGTCATATTAGAGCTCCCAGTTCTCTGCCTACAGCACAAGGATACAAAATGTCAGTGCGGCTTTTGCACTTCACAGATACAGATGTGAGATTACTCTCCAGATTGCTCGTTTCACGATTTTGAGTGTAATGAAATACCTTGTTTACAGCACTCAGAGTCGCTGTTTATGTCTTGAAAATGTCATTGTGGAATGTAATTAAAAACAGTCAGAGCAATTCTCTGATAATAACCAAAACTAAGAGGATTAATATGCTGAAAACCAAAATCACCCCAATCTTATTTGTTCACCTGCCTAGTGACATGAAAAATTATTTTCTTGCTTGAGCACTTTTCAAGATTTTATCATTCATGCAGGATTCTCAACACGCCCATAAGTTCACCAGGTTACCCTTTACATTAATGTCAGCGGGTGACAAGCATTACATTCACGTATCACAGATGTGAAATTGGGATTTGGAGTTCAATGGATTTTGGGATGGAAATCTTCAGAGAGAAACATCACCTTGAGATGTCTCGATTGAAGATGTCGTGTATGTGTGGTGTACATTGCCATATTTCTCTCTGCCTCTTATTGGTAGAAGTGTTTGCAATACCTGGAGAACCTTGTTATCAAATATTAAAGATGTTATCCAGCCCTCCAAGACTGCCAACTAGAGCTGGAGACATGTCGCCCTCCCCTATTTACCATTTCTCACTTTCTTCCCTCTTCTTCGTCTCCTTCCAAATGTCAGAATCTGCCCCAAACTTGCTTTTCTTAAGTCTTTTATTACTTTTTCCTTTTCCCACATGTTGATATTACTTATATTATTTATCCCCTCTTTCACTGTATCCCACCTGTTGCTGCTTTAATGACACATTGGATTGTTTTCATTGTATTTCATAATACAATACTCATGTGTCACGACAAAAATACATTGAGAGAATTATTTCTGCAGTGTAATAACTGTTCCTGTGCATGCTGGTCATGAAATGGTTTCAGCAAGACTTCAGTGTAAGACGTAAAGGAAAAGATCCACTGCTCTAGTTCTGTGCAAACATGCATTAGTGAGCCTATGTGAAGCTTTAGCAGTCTGAGTCAGTCAAATTGAGTGGGTATCTTTGGCCTGATAGATGTGTGTAGGTTTCAAAACCACATGCAACCACAAACCAAGAGGCTAAGGGGAAGTAGGCCTACTACTCTGCCACAGCTCGGCAAGGACACGCTGTCTAGGAGAACTAAAAGAGTGAATTTCACACAAAAATAACGGTCGGGCGAAGTGACTGGGTGCAGCTTCTCTTTGTCATGTCATCACAGTGAGGATCCCAGATTTGGCACCATCATTCCTGTACAGAGACCTTTACAAAATCCTGTGCTCACTGACTGTGTCAAGCAACCCGAGGGTGCTGCACAGAACAGCAGACAGGTGTTTGCCAAAGAAAAAGTTCCAGCATGTAACCTCCCCAAAAACCTGAAAGTCCCATTTTTATTTTTCTGTTTTTTTTTCTCTCCGCACTCAATATGTAGTTGTATAGCTAGGTTCCAGTTTACCTTAGCATAAAGACACTGGAAACAGGGGGAAGTCGCTAGCCTGGCACTGTCCAATGGTAAAAATAGCTTGTGAATTAGCATGTGAATTAGCATGTAAAGCTCTGTAATTCATATGTATCTTGCTGGTCTGAAAATGAAGGGCATTATGTCCTGCGCTATTTCTGTGACTTTCTGCAATCTTGCTGTCACCATGAGGTTGCTGGGCAATGTTTTTTGATAAACGAGATATGATGTAGTAATTAGAGAGCTTTAGCTTTAGAGGTTCTTTTACACAGATTTTTTTTCACCTTCAGGCAGATTTATAGCCAGCTGTCTCACCATGTTTCTAGTCTTTATGCTAAAGCTAGGCTAGGCTAATTGGAATCGATCTTCTCATCTCAGTCTTGGAAAGAATACAAAGAAGCATATTTCCCAAAGGTTGAATTATTTAAAGACAGCCTTTATGATTGGATTTAAATATATTGTACACATCCAGCTTGTTTTACCTGACCTCTCAAACCAGACGAGCCAACTTCAAGGCTTTCCCCATGACGCCATCTCGTTTACTTATTAGACTCATTATTAAAATAAAAAAAAAAAAAAGCAAGCAAGTTACCAGCAGGAGACACATCAAAGACTTGTAAATAAGAATCCTCATGTTTCCGCTTTGTCTGATAATATCTCCTATTTTACCCCACTGCAGCCTGCTGATTCCTCCAAGCTCAGCCTATGGCTATGGGAAAGGGTTTTGTGAAATACTGTAGAGAGCAAATTGAGATTCCTAACACTTGCACCATATTCTCAGACACAGACTGTTATTCACTTCAGCATGTGACCTTTTCTCTGTGAATATTTAGAGGGGTTATTTATCTTTAACTGCATCTAATGGTGAGTGAAAGCCCTGTGTGTGTCTAATGGTGTCTCCTGACCACAGTGGTAAAGGTGGGAGCTGGTTTATAGGGCTAGATAAATCGTCTCTTGATTTGTATACATTTCAGCTGCTTCTAAAAGCCAATATTACAGGATAATGTAATATGTTCTCCTAATATGCATTTTATACCTGCCGTAAATCACTGTGTGTCACGCTTTTATTTTTTCTCTCAAGCTGATTCCTGCATTTGTATCTTTTCAAAGTAAAGTAACCGCTCATTAGGATAAAGTACAGGCATATGGAAAGTTTCATTGGGTAAGTGGCTTTCAATAAAAATCTGGGAAGGTTGTTTATTGAAACAAATGCTTTGAATGCCTCTCTCTTAATAACGACCAATCCTAATGGCTAAGAAGACTGAGGATTAACCAGCAATCAATCTCTTATTGAGTGCTTTAGTTCAGCAGAGAGTAATAACACCTTCAATTAGACTTTCAAGACATTTTTTTTCTCTTCCTTGTGTACCATTAAGCCTCATCAGTGCTTCCTAGCTAATTTTAATGTTAGTCTAATGGCATGGCAATGTGTGCACACACAGCTAATTCAGGCCAGTATATTGAAGCATACCGTGCTTTAATCATTGCTGTAAATATTGTACAATTAGGCAGGTGCACAAAATGAGGAGAAGAAAGTAAATGGACAGTGAAAGAAATAAAGAAAGAAAATGAAGAATTCAAACATAGAAGGAATTAAAAAACAAAAGCTTATGCTGCAGAGGCTTTTAAGAAAATAGACCAGCTGAAAACGGGAGTAAAAGTGGAAATGATGAAAAGAGGAAATCTTAATATCCATTTTTTAATAGCGGCGGCATCTTCCAGCTCAGGTCCCAGCAGTGTCTGGGAACAAACAGGAGAATTGACTCTGGCAGAAGGAGATTAGCCTCAGTGTTCCTCCCTGAGCCAGAGGAGAGCAGTCAGCTATAGACAGAGCAGGGTCACTCTCCAGCTCCGAGACCCAGCAGCCAGACCCAACCTTTCCCTCCTGCTTTCCCTTTCACCTCTCGTCTCCCCTCCACCCCCTCCTTTTGTCAGTCGCCTGCGCGCCTGGCTCTCTGCATCTTATTCTGTCCGGAGTTTTTTAGATGACCCCAATCTCCTCACATCCCATCACAGTGTTGTCTGTGGAGGTTCCTTCAGGGGTCATGCATGGCCAGGGATATTGTCACACCAATTGTTGCTGTAATCACAGGGCTTCCTTTCCAACTCCAGGGAGGTGAACTATCTCTGACCTGCTCAGTAAGGAAGGCTGGAATTTGGGCCAGAGATTGTGCAGATGTTGTTATGACTATCAATTTAGGTGTGTAGACACAGGCGGGCTGCAGGGGTGAAGATAATGTGGTCGTCATATTGGGTTGGGATTTGAACTTGAATGTAACTTTAGCGACGTGTAACAAAAACAGTGTGATACCAAAAGTTGAAACTGAATTTGATCAGATTATTAGTCCTGTCTCGTTTACTTTTTTTGGTGAGATATTTCATGGCTTAAATAATCTTCCTAGTTGAAAACTATTTAATGTGAAGAAATAGTAAGTAAACACTGATGGATTTGAGAAATATGTATTAAAAAGAAAAAGGTATCAAAATCTTTCCATCAATACCCATTTTGTAGCCATACAACACAGATGTGGATGTAATTTAGCAATATGTGTGATGCATCAGGGAATTTTACTTTAAATTCAATTTAAGTTTGTTTTGGTCAAAACGGTTTTGTAGAAAAATATTTCTATATTCCTCAAATCACAAAAAGTGAAAACACAAACAAACAAACAAACAAACAAACAAACAAACAAACAAACAAACAAACAAACAAACAAACAAACAATTAACACAAGGTCCACTGACTAGCTTTTGAAGGGTTTTCTACCACAGTTTCAGTTTGAAACAAAAAAAAAGTCTCCACCGAGGAAGACTGCAAAATGTGGTTAAAACTTTGAAAAAAGTACCTTGAGAAATCTTCACTCGAAGTCTCTTTTACAATCGTTTTCCAGCGCTTTCAATCGTCCTCAACACATCATCATCATCACATGAAAGATAATTTCAAAAACTCTATTCGCTGAGGTAGACCATGAGATGTGGTTAAAATGTTTGGACAAGCTAACTGTGGACGTAGAAGCCCCATCTGAAAAGTTAAGAATGAACTTCTGTGTTGAAGAAAAAAATATAGTTTTTGTATCAGCAGAACAACGCAAATAACTCATATATAAAACATAAATATCAGACACACACATTTAAAGTAGCTTGGAAGATATAAAATGTGTGTGTTTGTTTGTGTGTGTCTCTGTGTATGTGTGTGTTTATGTGTCTAGGTGTCTGTCTGTGTGTGTGCGCGTGCGTTGGCTTCAGTAAAAATCAAGACCCAGTGATAGGAACCATGTTGTAATCATTTGGTCAGAGGATTATGAGAAACAATAACTCACAGCTGGCCTCCGATCAAACGTGTGGATGGAGGACTGTCCTTGGTGCAGCGAAAACAAACATCACCCCCGTGTCTCATAACTCTCTCACTATTACCGAGGATGGTGATTTGATATTGATTAGGTTTCATGAGAGCCCACCGCTCATCCAGCTTATTGTTCCATAGGACGATATGGATGTTTGTCCTCCCTTGAGTCTCGTGGCCCTGTGCAAGTTGTATTATCCTCTGTTATGGCACCACGGCAGCCTGCGCCCTGAATGTAGAATGGAACTCATGACTCAGGTGCCACATCGTGTGCTTCCTGACAAAGCTATTATTTCTCTTGGCCCTGCGGACTGAGGCAAAAGTTATCCATCTCTTTATTTTTACACTTCCGTCTTTCTCCTATTTCTCTCATTGTCTATCTTCTTGTTTTGGGTCAGCAGATGTGCAATGATGTGGTGATGTGGCCTCATTGTAATTAATGCATCTGTCACCAAAAGCGAACAAGAGCAAGAAAATTCACACAGCCCTCGATGTTCTTTGGAAAATTGCTCTAACACTTTCAGAACATTAAGTTACTCACATATGCTTCTGCTGCTGCGGTTATGAATTAAATCTGTTCATCATGTGTTCACGTTCACTTCACTTTTGCAGGTTTTGATTGAGGCAACAGTTTCCAGGGAGCGGCGAGGCTACATTGCCATAGATGACATCATGGTGCTCAACTACCCCTGCTGTAAGTGCCACTTCTGACAATGGATTGCAATTATAGAAGGGGCTGGAGGGAAAAAAAATGTATTTCAAAGCAGCATGAAACATAAATAGAATGAGGAGAAGTGTAATGGCTGATTGACCTTTTATATTAGTACTGCAGGTTGTCCTGAGGCATCCTGCGACAACAGCAGTGCTACTAAAACACTGTGACACCCAAATGCCAACACTCCCTTCCTCCTGAAAACACACTTGCCATTCTGCCTCCAGCCTCGTTTGACAGGCAAATTGATTTGTTAATCAAGTGAAATCTTGAATTCTCTCTCTGAAGACTTCTATACTTTTATATGTTCTAGCCTGACTGGAAATGTGCTGTAGCTTTTTGTCACAAGTCACTTTGTACAGAGGGTTTCTTTTTTTCTTTTTTACCATCAAGCACTGCATTTCAAAGCTTTACAAAAATGCCGTCTCCTCGGGGGTGGGTTTGTTTTTTTTTTTTTTTTTAACCAATGATTCCCTGCCATGGAGGGCTTTTTTTGTCAGCTGTGGAAAAGTAAGGGTGGGTTGTCAGCCCCTGAGGATGTTGTGTAAAACATATTCTTTAAGACCCCTGAGCTTAATACCTGGACAAAGTGTCGCAGTGTCACTTTCACACTCCCTGTACAGACCACTGCTGAACACAAGGGCTCTTGTCAACTCGCAGGACATTTAACACCCGTAGTCCACACCACTTTCAAATGACTTGTATCACTGACACAAGCTTGAAGGATATGTCGCTCTCACGGGGTTGAATGTTATCTCGTTAATATTTATACATCCCTATTGTTATCACTGGAGTGTTTGGGAGATGGTCTTTTCAGGGGTTGCCATGTTGTAGAGGATACCACCAGCGATTTTATTAAACGAACACCGGCTGTGAGATTGGTTTGTACCCCAACTGTATGCATACCGCCCAGTCAGCCACCCTGTTTCTCCCAGAGATGGCAGATGGCAACTTCTGAACGCTCCCACTGTGGCCATTAAATAATTAAGACTCTCATCAAGACCTGAGCGTGTCTTATGATGTGGCACACGGCCAGCCTGCATTACTTGGCAGCGAACAGCGTGAGGAAAGAAGAAGAAGAAGTGAAAAACCGACGGGAAGTGTCTCTTAGTAAAAAAATGAAATGAAATGAACAAAAATGAAAATAAAAGCTCGACAAATTCCTTTTCTTGTGAATTGTAGTTCAAGCATGGTTGACATTTTAGTTGTATTCTCCTGAGTCCTAGTCTCTGACTCTGAAACCCGTGTTACGGTCGAATGAAATATTTATCTCGCTAAAGAGTCCTGAGGATAAGATCTGACACATTTAGCTGTATAACACTGTAATTCTTGCCAACTGTAAGGCCTGTTTTTCCCATTCACACTCATTTCGGTGTTTGTTTATGTTTTGCTCTCAGGCATGAATTATGAATTAACCTTAGGAGGGAGAGTCACTCAAAGGAAACATGGGGTACAAATACAGGCACTTTCCCCTCACTCCTTACTGTACACAAACAAGATCAACAAATTGTCATCGCCCTCCTCTGCTAGATTGCAAAGCAGTGTTGCGCGAAACCAAGCAGGACATGAGTGAGAGCCAAGCATGTGCTTCTCCCCAATGCTTCAGCATCACTGTTACTCTGCCATCTCTTCCTGTCAGTTATTCAGAGTGACATGTCGGCTTGTCCTAACCCATTTCTCAGATATGGCAGGCAGTGCTGCCGCCGTTTACCCAGTGATTTGGCTCCGCGGGGGTCTGGTACTCACTGCTCTATTGTTAATCACGGAGTTGGGTGAGAGGGCTACTCCCACACACTGACTCACTGGCGGCTCCACGCAGCATGCTGGGACATTATTAGTCAAGATTTGGAGCGCTGATACTTATTCTGGGGCTTTTCTTCTGCAGATTCACTCTCACATTCTGCTCATCCATAGATTGCTTCTAATCTGATGTTGTTGGCTAGCAAGTTATTTTGGTAATGGACACTAAGGCAACCGCTAAATGCATATTTACACGCTAATACACAATTATTAAAACTATATATTTCAGTATTTTTGTTTGCTGCAACTTTGAATATTGTTTTATGCTATGATGGACATATGCGTCCACTGTGTTGTGCTGTGGAGAATGTGGAAATGGAAATTTAAGTAAAAAAGTATGCAACAGCTTTTCGCCTCCACTGTCAACAGAAATCCACAAACACACCAAAACATATAGAAACTTTGTTTTTAAAAAAAACTTTTCTTTTCTTTCATATTTGCTGGTTTTTGTTTTGTTCCTTTTATTTGTTTCATTTATTAACTAAAGTGTAGTGAGTTGAAAATAAATTGGTAAAAAAAAAAAAAAATCAGTGCATAAGTTTAATGTTGTGTCAAACTTTCTACTTAGAAAGTTCCGTTACTGCATATGTCCCCTGTGAATGTTGGTGAAATAAAGTTTTAATTATGATAAAACATTGTACAAAGCTAAATTTTTTTCTCTCAAGTAGAAATGCCTGAAATTCCTGTTTATGTATTTGAAAAAAAAAACAAAAAAACAAAACAAAAGGCCCTGATAAAAACATCCCTGTGTAGCCGTCTGGCATTGTGAATGGCTGAAAGGTAATGGAGTCTTTTGATCTCACTCTGTGTCTCTGTCTGTCTGTGTCTTTAGATAAGGCGCCGCACTTCTCCAGGCTAGGAGATGAGGAGGTCAATGCTGGGCAAAATGCCACCTTCCAGTGTGTTGCTGCTGGTAGGGCATCTGAGGCGGAGAAGTTCCTGCTGGAGGTCAGTGGTTTAATGGTTGCTAAAGGAACCTGTGTGTCTGACTTAGACGTGTGGGAGTTAGTTAGATTTTTTTATTTTTTATTTTTTTTAACCTCCAAAGCAGTCAACATCACAAACGGAAAAACTGGTTGCGGTGTTTTTTTTTTGTTTTTTTTGCACTTGACTGACTGAATGCTTTATCATTTAGAGGAACTTGAGGTCATGGATGGATTATTAGACAATGGGCTCAGGAACAGATCACCCAGACTGAAAGAGACACAAAATGACTACAAACTGATGTGTCATTCATAGTTTTTTTGTCATAGTTTTGTATCTCTTTTGGTCATTTAGGTTTCTTTGTGGTTGATTTCTGTCTCTTTTTAGTCCTTTGCATCTCTTTATAGTCATTTGCATGTCTTTTTGGTCATGTTGTGTTTCTTTGTAGTTGTGCGGTCTTTTTGCATCTTATTGGGGTCTCTTTCTACTGCTTATGCATCTTTATGTGGCCATTTTGTGTCTCTTTGTTGTCTCTGAATGTTCAACGAGAAGTGTTAACATTAATTTAAAACAGATAGTACGGCCAGGATCCCCCTTAAACAGTTGGGCGCCTTGGCCCGTGCCCCGTAGGTCAAGGTGACTCAAGGTAAATCATTAAGTTTAAGAATTCATTTCAAATCTCAATGTGTCAGGATACATAAATACATATCTGTTACTCTAAACAACCACTTCAACAGAGCTTTCTCTGGTTTTTATGTGTCCCGGACGTGTTGTGTGCTTAAATAAAGACTGTTGACAGAGCTTGAATGCTGTGAAGGCCATTAAGGCCTTGAAGCCTCCACACTTCACTGCATTGTGAATAGTTACATTGCTTATAGGATCACAGTGTTCACTGCTTTCTTCATTGCCTCCTGTTTTTATTCATATTATGGTCTGTGTTTTCGATATCTGTCTTTTCATCTAGAATGGCTTGCTCAGTGAAGGTCAGAGAGGCCGTACAGTCCTTACGTCTGGTGGGAATAACTCTGTGGTCTTCAAACCCTCCTCTTTCTGCAGCCCTGATTAAAGAACTAAAAATCATTGTGTTGTAGGATTTTCTTTTTATCTCCTGCTGCAATTACTGTGCAGCCACACATTCAATGCTTTTGCCAACATCTTACCACCCACTACACGCAGTGTTAATCATGGTTGACCTTAGGCAAACCTACTGTATTGTTTAAAATTGGGAGATGTGTGATTTATGTAATTGAAGCGTCCTCATTCCCACCTCTCTGAACACTTTATCAAACCACCCATTTGGACACAACACAGGGATGAAGACAAATGCTTTGGGTAATTAGTTGGCGTATCTGTACAGGCGCCTCCTGTAATGAGATCTCTAGGCCACTGGAATGCTCTTAGCTTACCTCTCCTCTAGCTTTTTCTGTCCTCTTCACCTCTCTCTGTCTGCTCTCTCTGCCTCACGCACATCTTTCAGACCTGTTTTCTCCATATGAACACACATCACAGTTGCTGTCTGTTGTGCTCTTTTGTGTTCATTGTGTCTGCTGTATACCAGCTGCAGCACAGTCTTGGCCGTGCACGCCTGCCAGATTAACAGATCGTTTTGACGTTTCCTCGCCAATTAGCTACAGCCAGATTGTTTACGTAAGAGGAAGTGATGTGTGTTTATATGTTTTCCCCTGATTTCTCCTGCCCACCTTCTGTAATCCACACACCAGGTAGTGAACAGGAGATGTAAAAGATGCAGGGGGGTTGCAGGAGTGTATGACTGAGATTTTTTCTTTTCTTTTCCTGCGGTCATAAGATTAGTTGCCTGCTTAACCCTAATCAGCGGGTGTGTGTTTATGTGTTTGTTTGCGAAGGCTCGGCCCGAGGTTTGTGTGGTCTGTGGGTTTTTTGACAGGCCCATATCAGAAGCACAACAGAAGCACAACAGAAGCAGCGATGGCCAAGCATAACCTTAAGGTCTCCTTGTTAATCCCAGCGTGCTCACATGCTTTGGATTCAGTAAAAACTGGCAGATCAAAATGATAAGTATCAAAATTCACGTCCACCATTTCGAACAATGAATGGGAGAATGGCCTGAAAACATGAGAAAAAATGTCAGATCCAATGTGTTTTGTTGAAGCTACGTGGACTTGACGGATGCTAGTGGTTTTAATGGTGTGGAACAATGTGAGAAATGCCTCTCGCGGCGCAACAGCAAGGTGCATCATGCAACATTCATTTGAATCTCCCTCTCTCTGTGTTTTTCATCCTTTTCTCTATCATTATTCCTTATTCTTTCTCACTTTGTCCATCCCAACCTCAGTTTTGTTTATGTTCTGTTTCTGCTTTATGCTGAAACTAGCAGCTACTTCATATTCAAATTCTACAGTTTTCTTTTTGTTTAGTTTTGCACCAAAACACAAAGTCTACATGCTGCTGTTCATCCATTAGCCTATGTACGAAACTGATTAAAACTTAATGCATTAAAGCCCATCTGTTTCCCAGTTCTAACTGCTGAGCGGTTAAATGTTTTGGTTCAATAACATCGTACACTGAGGATGACTGAGGTGGAAGATGGGCTCTATTAAGGGGCGGCACTCGTGACATGTATTACCCCCATAATCATTATTATTTTAACAAGATTTCATTTGTTTTATTAAAGCATGTCTGATTGTCATATTGTGTGATTAAATCAGAGAGATGGTCCTGCCATTCTAATTAAATTGCACACAATTGGACAATCCTCCTCCTTTTTAATCACATAGCTCCAATAAAAACTGACCCAGATAGCAATAATTTAAGTGTTTTGTTGCATTATTAGCTTAGTGTCCCTGGAGTTCACTGGGCAATAACTGCGTACAAGGGCGACGTACAGTAATAGGAAATGAGTGTGTGTGTGTGTGTGTGTGAGTGTGTGTGTGTGTGTGTGTGTGTGTGTGTGTGTGTGTGTGTGTGTGTGTGTGTGTGTGTGTGGGTGTGGGTGTGTGTGTGTGTGTGTGTGTGCATACATGTTTTTAATAAAAAATACACTGAGGTATACAACATGCAAAATTACTTTTTTAGTAAAGTAGTTTGTATTTGTAGTTTTTTTAGTTTAAGTAACATGCAGTATACAGTAAAAACAAGAGGGCAAAAAAGAAAGAAAGATGGAAAGAAAGACAAGAAAAAGGAGAGAAGGAAAAAGAAATAAAAAAGACGCTTACTAAACACATAGCTATGAAACAATACAATACATTTTTCAACTGGCTATATGCAGATATTCACATTAACATAAAACACAAACAGGTTTCTGTTCTTATCGTGTCTTTTAATAACTAATATTAATAAGAAACTATTTTAGTTAATGTAGTCATTAGTTGAAGTTGCTCAGAGGTTTTTATAACTGACAGAGGCACCTTCCAATTTTGCACATAAAAGGCAGTTTACTACTGTTGTCATGGTGAGTGCTACTCAGCCTGTGACAACAGTTGTATAATTTCTTCTTTGGCTCTGGAGGCCTATATCACAAACTGGGAGTGTGGAGTTTGAAAGATGTGGGCATTTAGGGAGGCAGGGAGGATATAATGAAGAGGCTACATTGAGTTGCATTATGGGAAGTATAGGCGCTTGAGTGTGGAAGCTTGACTCATACTAGGGACTTAAAGTCTTGATATCTCTTGTATGAGATGACATACACCTGTGTGTGTGTTTGTGTGTGTGTGTGTGTGTGTGTGTGTGTGTGTGTGTGTGTGTGTGTGTGTGTGAGTGTGTGTGTGTGTGTGTGTGTGCAGACATGTTTTTAATAAAAAATACACTGAGGTATACAACATGCAAAATTACTTTTTTAGTAAAGTAGTTTGTATTTGTAGTTTTTTTAGTTTAAGTAACATGCAGTATACAGTAAAAACAAGAGGGCAAAAAAGAAAGAAGATGGAAAGAAAGACAAGAAAAAGGAGAGAAGGAAAAAGAAATAAAAAAGACGCTTACTAAACACATAGCTATGAAACAATACAATACATTTTTCAACTGGCTATATGCAGATATTCACATTAACATAAAACACAAACAGGTTTCTGTTCTTATCGTGTCTTTTAATAACTAATATTAATAAGAAACTATTTTAGTTAATGTAGTCATTAGTTGAAGTTGCTCAGAGGTTTTTATAACTGACAGAGGCACCTTCCAATTTTGCACATAAAAGGCAGTTTACTACTGTTGTCATGGTGAGTGCTACTCAGCCTGTGACAACAGTTGTATAATTTCTTCTTTGGCTCTGGAGGCCTATATCACAAACTGGGAGTGTGGAGTTTGAAAGATGTGGGCATTTAGGGAGGCAGGGAGGATATAATGAAGAGGCTACATTGAGTTGCATTATGGGAAGTATAGGCGCTTGAGTGTGGAAGCTTGACTCATACTAGGGACTTAAAGTCTTGATATCTCTTGTATGAGATGACATACACCTGTGTGTGTGTTTGTGTGTGTGTGTGTGTGTGTGTGTGTGTGTGTGTGTGTGTGTGTGTGTGTGTGAGAGAGATAGAGAGAGAGAGAGAGAGAGAGAGGGTGGATGATGATGAACCATCCTGCTCTCTCTCACCCTGTCCTTTCCTGCTTTCCAGAGACACAATGGGGACATTTTAACAACAGCGTCGGTCAAGCACCTGAGTCACCGGCGCTTTGTGGTATCCTTCCAGCTAGACAGCGTCCAGAGATCGGATCAAGACCTTTACCGCTGTGTCACTCAGTCCCCAAGGGGCTCTGGGGTCTCAAACTTTGCTGAACTCGTCGTCAAAGGTAAACACTCTCTCTTCTATGTGTCTCACTCTTTATCCTCCTTCTGTTTCTTCTATGCCAAGCATCTTTTTTTTTTCCTGCTGTTATAATGATAGCATATGATTTTCCGCTCTTCTTGGTCATGATACATCACCGCCTGTGATTCAAAGACCAATTAAAAATCAAACTGATCATAACAAACACTGATATCCTCTAGTGTGAAGATATTTCAAATTACCCATCATTTGTGCTTGATGGTGGAAATTATAGACACCTGTTTCAAATTGATTTCCACAAAACTCCGTAGTCACAAAGTGTGTGGCGCTTGACACACATGATGGCTCTTTATATGGTGAATACAATCTGCCTGACTTGTGTTGTTTCCTGAGCTGGAGTTGTCAAATACGCTGCCACACTCGGCTCTTCGGCTCTCTGTCAAAAAGCTTTTCTTTTGACTAGGACTCCTGCAGCCCCTGTCATATCATGTACCACAGATGGTGACCTCACTCCCATTACTCACTCCAACCCCACAGCCTGACACCACTTTGACAGCATAGTAATGACATGGCTGTGGGATGGTTTGTTGGCATAACACACTCCAGTAAAGGGAAGATGAGAAGGGGAAATAAGGATGTGAAAGATTCTCATTCTCATTGTCCTCTGCTGCATCCTCCTCCTGTTATGAATGTTTTTTTTTTTTTAAAGTCTGACTGAGACTGTTGTCGTTGAAGCATGAAGTAAATCCCTTTGATTGATAAGGAAGCACGGGTTCTGTTTAGTATTGTGACACAGACTGATCGCTACAGTATAAAATAGAGCCATTTTGCCAAAACCCTATCACCAGCAGCTGCCACTAAACCAGGAGTCAGTGAACGTGCTGATAGAAAGCCATGAAATCCCATTTAATGTGCTCACACTCCAAAGCAAATGAGTATTATTGTGACCATGTGGTTGTTGCCTTCCTTACTTTATTTCATAATCAGGACAAAGATGTTATTTCTGGCAAAGCTCACTCTGCATCGCGAGTAGATGTGGCTGTAAGACATGTTCAAGTCAACTGGCTGTAACTCTATAATCTATTTCACAGGAGCTGAGACCGAGTCCTTAACAAGACTTTCATAAATCCCTTTCCCCACACTGCCCTGCTAAGAAGAGCCTAATCACCCCCTTAATGAGTTGGCTCTACTCATTTCACGACCCTAGATTGCATGCAGGAATCATGATGAAGCTCTCTTATTGCACCACAGAGGACAGAAACATCACATAATGAACACAACATTTCCATCTTTCTGCTAAAAGGTGCTATATGTCTCTGGCTTTTGTTGTGGCCTCCTAGTTGTTATTTTTTGATCCTGTGCACATTTGGGGATGTGTTTCCAGGGATTTTCAGCCCGTTAAAGCATAAATCTCAGTGCAGAGAAATCCTTAATTAAACAGAAACTAGCTCAGAGAGCGGTGTTTGGTATCAGAATAGCTCTGTATGCAGAGGGAAAAAAAAGTGTAAAATAACAAAGTAAATGAACAGAAAAACTCATATTTACTAGAGCAGTGAACTTTAACTGTGAAAGACATGAGTGAGTTGTTTTAAAGTCGTCCCTACTTGCCGTTTACCTGTGGCCTAAATTTGCCCTTTCTTTATGGTGGATGCAGTCATTGACAACCCAAAGATGAGCTGCTTCAGGCTAAGTCAAGGCAACGGAAAGCGGTGCAGAGTAGAGTTGAGGTGCTGGTAATGTTGAAAGCCCACAGAGAGGAGGCCCATAAAAGACAGAGGCGCCTCTGCAGGAATGAAGGATTAGTCACAGCCACAGATCAAACTCTGATCTTTTCTCATGCTTTGTCCTCATTTCTTTTGCATTCCCTTCCCTCCTTCACACTGTTCTCTGTGTAATTGTTCAGTGACTTGGATCTGCCAGTAAGTGACATTTGACCGGTGGGCTCTGGAATTAATCCTTGGTTTGGCAGTCTTTACCGACAGTGACGCAGAGTCTCCTCTTTCATCATGGTGACCAGCTGTGAGGACAGAACACTCAGTTAGAGAAAAAGATGTACAGCACTTAATCCTTTAGATACAACGATCATACACATTCAATGTGCTGCATGCACAGCTGTTTTTTTCACTTGCTACTTGGCTAAGATTTATGCAAGGTTGTGAATGCCTTGTTAATAGCTATGACTAATCTGCTATTTGAACGCAGTTTGACCTGCTAACATCCTGCAGTCCCTGGGGACTCATTTAAGACTCTGGGCAGAAATCTGTTTGCATACAACTGATTAGTAAAATTAATACTACAATGCTACCTCCTGTGTGTGTGTACCTCCAGACTGTGTAAGTTCTATGGCCCCGCCAGCAAATGCTTCTACCAATACAAATGTGTGTTTGAACAGGAAAACAAAAAAAATGAACTGCCTCTCATTTCCTCTGACAGTACCTCCATCCCCCATCGCGCCGCCTCAGCTGCTTCGTGCCGGCTCCACTTACCTGATCATCCAGCTCAACACCAACTCCATCCTGGGAGATGGCCCCATTATCAGGAAGGAGATTGAGTACCGCGCCAGTCAGTCACCGTGGTCAGAGGTGCACGGGGTCAACATGGTCACCTACAAGCTGTGGCACCTGGATCCAGACACAGAGTACCACATCAGTGTGCTGCTGACTCGGCCTGGAGAGGGAGGAACTGGCCCTCCTGGACCACCTCTTGTGAGCAGGACCAAGTGTGCAGGTGAGCTCCCAGATCCCAGGCTTGGTGTAGTTGCCTAATGAAGCAGTTCCCAATCTTTTTGGCTTGTGGCTTCTTGAAATGATCTTCTTGAGATCCCTTTGACAGGTTATACTCTCAGTGGGCACATGAGTTGTGATCAGTTTGCTAAAGAGTGATTTTTCCTGCTTAGGTTGTTTAATTTTAAGGATGCTTGGAGGCCTGAAGAGGTGAAAGTTAAAATATTTCACAAGAAAAGAGAAAAAAAGAGAAAATCTAGAACAAATATCATAATTTTGTGTAGATTCATCTTGAGACCCCCTGAAGTGTCCTGACCCCCGGGTTGGAACCACTGGCCTAATGTATTAGATTGTTGTACTTTTTTGTCACAGCATAGGTTAAGCAGGCATGATCATCATCACTTACACACTCATTGACATAACAGAGCCGTGTATTTTGATATATATATACATAAATATATATATATATAAATATTTATGGCTCTCATTTACAACACTTTAAAATGACTTAAAAATGGATAAAATAAATGGAAAACAATAAATTAAAACAACTATATATAAATACAATTCATTAAAATACAAAATGCAGATGCAAAAGACAAATCAGTTAAAACAGAAGCTGAATGGTTTGTGATCATCATTTAAAATTACTGAGTATTACCGAAGAATTATTATTTTTTGATACTTGGTAAAGAGTTCCATTTGGCCAGAACTTAAAAAATAAAAGCAGATCTTCCAAGCTCAGTATGTGAGGGACTTGCAGAGAAAGCCAGTCATTAGACAGAGTTTGATATGGTCCAGAGCGTAATAATGTCTGACTGCGAACATAAAAGTGCTATTGCGCTGCTATACACTGGCCAGTGGCAGCTGCTGCATCTCAAGCTTAAAGCCCACCACCCACATCCTAGCTTTCATCCATATGTTATCTGTTTTAAGATGAATCATGGAGTGTTGTCTGCCTTACATCTTTCCTACTCCAGAAATTTGTACCCACCACTGAATCTTGTAGTATGTTGTCTTGTTTATAGAGACAGTCTACAACAGTCTATTTAGTATATTCCCATTCGGGATTTTTTGTTTCTGTCGCCAAGAATGAGATGGCTTTTTTTTTTTTTGGATTGGGTAGGGACGTTGCTCTGAAAGGACCCATTATGCAACATGTAGCGCTTAGGGGAATCACAGTGAGTACTGTTTAGGTGATGCATGGCTGGGAGCCTGAAGAGGGGAATAAAGTGTGTTGAACACCTGGCTGTTCAGTACAATCCACAAGCATGGGGCAGCGGGGTCTTTGATACAAACGTACGGTGCTGCTCTATGATTTTCTAAATTGCATCGGCTTATACATTTAATCTAGATAAGAATAATACCTATAAATATGTCTTTTTTATGCTTCATGAAGTCATTCCATAAAAGAAACTCAGTTCAAAGTACTGATGCCCAACAGCCACACAAAATAACTTCACAGAGCCTTAGATTACGGGGCTGCATCTGTCGCCATAATCTGGTAAAATTCAATCAGAAGAGAAACTGATAGACAAGTTCTGACTCAGTCACTATACTTATCTCAGAAGAAAAAGCACATTCGCTATCACTGGCGCTCCCTGAACTCTGGAGCTGAGTAGACTCAAAGGGAGACTTTTTTGCTGCCAGTATGGCAAATATTGGTTTGAGGGTTATTTATAAGATAACAGCTGACTGACTAGATCAGCTGGCCTGAAGCAGTCTTCTTTGGTATCTACTGTAGAAGATAGAATTTTTTTTTTGGCAAGTACAATAAATGAATTAGAATTTGGAGGTGACAATGGTTAGACAGATCAATCACAGATACACACTGTAAATGCTATTCTATAAACAATAAGGGACATACAGTAACTAAATGATTAACTTGTTGGGCAAATAACAATTATTTTTTATTAATGCACTAATTATTTTCTCAATTTGTAAAATGTTAGAAAATAGTAAAAATGCCCACCCACTTCACTGTCGCATATGACAACCTGGAACCAGCAGATGTTTGGCATTATTGCTTGAGAAATTACAGAAACACTTGATTATTACAATAGTTAATTTTCTGCCACTCACCTAGTTTAAAAATAGACTAATTATTTCAGCTCTACTGGTTTTGCTTTCTGCTTCCTGTTTGTTTGTGTTTTCTATTCATTTAGCAAAAGCAGCTTTTCTGTTTTCACAGATTTAAAAATTGATTATTTTTCATTTTCTTCAGTGGTTCAGGTGAAGGTTTTCCTCACATCAGGCTTTTTTTTTTCTTTTTTCTATTGAACATTTTGTTCTGCTTGCTCACATCTGTGCACCTCTGTCATCTGTCACAGTGCAAACCCAGAACACCCAGGGAGACGAGCAGGATACCAACAGGCCACACCCATGCTCACTGTTAAATATACGTACACTGACAGAGCACAAAGAGTACTGTGTTAATGCAGATGCACACACAGTCATTACTGCTGCCTGCATCTGCAATGCGTGCGTCCTAGTCACAGGCACACGAAATAGAGAGCTTTGTGTTACCCAAAGGCAGTCTGTGGATTCGTATCTTCCATGGTCATCACTCTTTTCTATGCCCAACGGTCTCCTCCTGCCACACACCATCCCTCACATATCTCCCTACTCTGCTTCAGTAGAGCCTCCCCGGCCCCCCTCTCCAATGACATATTAAAGCTACTCTCCTCTCCCAACAGCAAAAGACACCCCTCATTCATCAGGCACTCTGAGTGAGCTCACATTCCCTCTCTCCCCAATCCCTCCCCAACTCAAGAGACACAGGAAATTCACAATAAAAAAGTTTTAAAAAAAAAATTAAAAAAAAACGGCAGCAAGAGGGAGAAAAGTGGAGGGAAGGGTGTGGTGTGTGATGTGGGAGTGAGTGTGTGAGTGTGTGTGTGTGTGTGTGGGAAAGAGGGTCGTTTTTCACAGTGAGAGAGTGAAACGGTAAAAATGAGGCGAGTGAATGTGCGAGAGGTGAAGCGAGAGAGGATTCACAACGTACGGAAATTGCTTTCACAGTTGCTGGTATCGGTGTTTGTGAAAGTCACCAAACTCAGCCTTTAATGATGTATTTACATTTCAACCACTGTGACATTAGCTTGTTCAACCATGTGTGGGATATGTAATACTGCTGTGTTTGCTGAGCTGTTAAACAGGGCATTTAGATGCAGTACTAGTTCAATACAGAGGAAATACAGGTGAAATTAATTTTGCCAGTCGTTGTGTCTTGTACTTTTTCCTCTGGTAGCTGCAAAGCTGTGAGTAACTGATGGTTGAGTTTGTTTTGTTTTGTTTCTTTCTTTGTGCTGCAGCTGCATCTGACTGACTCCTCTATGGTTTGATCAGTATTCGTGCTTCTTACTTGGGCGTGTAGATGTATTATGCACTTTACAGTAAGCTGCAGCCTCCTCCACCTGGTGTATCTCACCTCCGTGACCCTCCAGGAGACTCTAATCACCACCTGGTTCCCAGAGCTCCCCTGACCCAACCTCCAAACCATCTGGTCTACACTACCCCTACTGACCCCATATTCCACTGCTGAGTCCTGATGCCCCTCCAATCCCCACCCCCCCCAACCCCCTGCTGTTGGCCTTGTTAGGTTAAAGCACGAGAAAATAGATGTTGGGGTTGTTGTGGTGATTTCCGGGAGGTGGTAATTATCCAGTGAACAGAAGGGATTTTTGGACCCTGTTTGTGTTTAGGAGGAAAGTGAGTTTCCCCTTCAAAAGCTTCGTCTTGCCACCGTGACTATTATCACTCTTCCACGGTCATGCTGAATATTTCCCTCCTTCCCAAACACGTTGGCTAGCTGGCTTCACCGTACACATTCACTTCCTCGCCGAGCCGTGCTGTCCTCATGCGGGTGCTGTAAAACTAATGTGCGTGAATGTGAACATGGTCTCCGCCTGGCTCTGATGGCCATCCAGGTGTGCTTGATGAGCCATTGCTGTGATTATCAGCACGGTGCATTAGCACAGCTTGAAGCCCCTCAAGTAAATCAGAGAGGAGAGGCGAGCATTTGTACTGCAGGTGGTCCCCAAACTACGTTAATGGGCTTCCACCTGCTGCTGGGTCACTGAACCTTCTGGAGAGCCCCTGCCCGTGATGCTCTTGGTGTGTTAGAGGGAGCCAACACTGGAGCCTGACTAAAATTAGGCACATTAGGAGCACAAGTGCTTTGCCTTTCTTGGCATGTCGTTCATCATGTCTTCCTTTCGGAGCCAGAATTCCCTACGTGTGCACATTTGGGGTGTTTGGATTTATGTGTGCTTGTGTTTTTTTTTTTTTTTTTTTTGCTTGCACATGGGTATAGGCGTACATGTCTGTATAAATTTGGTTTTCCTGTCTGACGCAGTCAGTGCAGATCCTCTCCACCGATGCATACAGTCTAAGGCGGCTCTGCTCTGTCCTGCTGTTGTCCCATGTCACAGTTTTAGGGGAGATAATAAACCAGAACCTGTCACATCCACTCTGACTTCCAATCTCCAAGGATCAACATGGTGCTCTGGGCTTTTGGCCATGTTGGGGCGGCTGCAGTTTTCACGCCACAGGGTGCCAGAGAATGGGTGCCCATGGCATACAGACAGATAAGACGAGGCAAGGGGAAGGGGCTGGCACAAATGTCCACTTTGAGAAAACCCACAATGAGCACACTGTGGCCTCTTTGGCGATGCTTTCATTAACTCAGCAGTTAAATGCCTCTCTTTATTTAGCTCTCAGACTGTGCAGACTATCAATTGCACCATTAAGACAATCCTCAGTCACACTGGAACAATGGAACATTAACATTTCTTGCTGCGTGCAGTCTACTACTTTGCGATTACTGCGCCCACCCATTTATCTGCCGTCACATTAGTGTGGATGAGGTTCAGATCAATGCTCATGGTCATATTTTCATCTAGTATGAGATGCCAGACAGCAAATTAAAAGAGAAAGCTGGTGACTGCTGAGGCCTTCAGTATAGATTGGAAATGTCATAAAATTTTACTTTAACAGAATTGCTCTACTGCAGGCAGTAATAAGTGCATAAGAAACTGGGCATTGGGCTGTTGTGTCTCATAATGTTAACGTGTTTATGTTTGTGTGTGAGTTTGAGAATGTGTGCACTCAAAATACAGAGAGAGAGAGAAAGAAGGGTGATATAGTGACTGAGCTGAATAACAGTATTTTAGATCATTCTTGTTTTAGCCCCTGCTCAGTGATGCATTAGGTGTCTTATTTAAGTTCCCTGCACTAATCTGTGTTGCAGTGAGAATCACACTGAGTGTACGAGTAGAGTGAAGGAATGAAGACCTTGGCCAGTAACCTCAAACTCCACTGATCTCTCCATGTTCCCCATATCTCTGCTGTCGTTCCCTGCCTCCCTGGCCCATTACTCAACACACCCTATTAAAAGAATAAAGCCATACAATACATTATGTAGCATATTGCTTGACAAAAAGGCGTTGATTGTGTTAATAATGGCCACTGATAAATGCGTCCATTGATACTGAGGATGTCCTTGGCTTAACTCAGCCTCTCTTCAGTTTCAGACGTCCTCCTGAACACTGGCTGGTCTGTGCTTCTGTGTATAGAGGCTCTCTGTATCTTTCAGCTTGCCATTACATTTTAGGAGGATATCAAAGACAGAGCTGTTGTTTATTTTAGTCTGAGTCAGAGAAAGTCAGGGTTACCCTGGCAATGACTAGAATTAACTCAGTGCCTTCTAAAAATATGGCCATAGCGATGACCCAGATGTAAAAGTGACCAGCGGAAGTGAATGTCCTTGTATAGCACTGGCATTTTTTTATGTGTGTGGATTAAACCTCAGGGCCAAGAAGTATAACTACTGGATAGTCAATTTGCTCATAGACACGGAGGCAGGAACTGGTGGGAGTGCGATGGCAACCCGCAGCTTGTCCGATTAATTAGCGCAATTGGCATGAGTTCCTGCTCTGCCATGGGGGATGTGGGTGTGTTGTGCTGGCAGCAAACTGTTGACCTCCATGTTGTGGCGGGGCAGTATGGCTGCACATAAGAGGGGAAGTGAAAAACTGCCAGTGTAGTCCTGGGACATCAGTGATGCTGTAATTTGCTGGGTGTTCTGTCTAAAATCAATTATTTTGCAATAAAACAAAGTTACCTGTGCTTTCATTTTGTAAAATTCACTATTGTGCCCTCAGGACTTTTCCAATGACATTGCTTCTTTTTGTTTTATTTCTGCTTTCTTTGTTACTCAATTGCCTCTTTTTTTCTGTCTTCTTCTTCTTCAATCTTTGTCCCTCTCTCCCAGAGCCCATGCGTGCACTACGGGGCCTCACAGCCACAGATATCCAGTCCAGGCAGTTGTCCCTGCAGTGGGAGAATCTGGCGTTCAACCTGACACGCTGCCACACCTACTCAGTGTCCCTGTGCTACCGTTACACCACGGCGGGAGGCGGCGGAGGCCACAACACCACCGTGCGCGAGTGCCTGGCAGTGGAACACAACGCTTCACGCTTCACGCTGCGTGATCTGCCACCCTACCACGGCATCCATGTCCGCCTGTCACTGGCCAATCCAGAGGGGAAGAAAGAGGGCAGAGAGGTCACCTTCCAGACTGAGGAGGACAGTAAGTCCCGGAGGAAGTTACAGAAAAAATAGCATTGAAACAGAGGACAGAAAAACTGAGAATGAGAAGTGTCATAAGAAAACTGAAAACATTTTGTATTCTGAATCAGTGGTGGGATGTAACTTATTACATTTCTTCAAACACTGTACATGAGTACAATTTTTAGGTATTTGTGTATCTTCATTTCCATATATATATATATATATATATATATATATACATGTATATATTTTACTCCATTACATTTATTTGACAACTGTAGTTAGTTATCATTAGTTTGTAGAGTAAGATTTAAACATAAGAATCATACAATAAGCTTATAAAACACAACACATTGTTAAAGATTAAATCGGTGATTTCCAAGATTTTTTTTTTTTTTGGCTTCTGACCCTTTAAAAAGCTGTGTTTACTCGGGGCGTCTTGTCAGATGTCCATGACTTGTTAGCAGTTCCGCCAGAGTGATTTCCCCTCTAAACTTTTCATGGTTTGTTCTTGGACGCATGGATGGTTTTATTTAAATAATTGGCCCAAAGAGGTAAAACTCTGCATGCAATATTAAAAAAACAAGAATTTGAGAGTATTCAAAGTGAATATGAATTAGTGTAACAAAACTTTTTTTTTTTTTTCTTCCCTCCTACCCCATTAATCATCTCACAACCCTTCAGATTTATCTTGTGACCCTTTGGAGGGGGCCCGACTCCTGGGTGTAAAACCACTGGACACACAGCTGCGTCAAAATCCCACTTAAGCACTGATGCGTCAGTATTAACAATATCCTAATGTAATATACTGCATAAAGAAATATCAGTCACAGGGGCACAGTTTTCTGCGGAACAAGAACTATGATGTTTGATGCTAAAAGTGTTTGTGTGCTGTCTTCTTAATGCTGCAGTGCAATGTTTTATCATTTAAAATGCAGTTAACACACTGTCAAAATGGCAATGCTGCCCTCCAGCTTCATGTGCACTTTACTGTCTCAACCCTTTACGCACGGAGAAAGAGATATCATTGTCACATCTTAAATTACGGTCTCGTGATTTAGTTGTGATAGCTGTTTTGGAAGAGAGTGTGAAAATTTACTGCAGTACCTCAAAATTGTTTAACTATTCCCATAGTCAGTGTCAGAATGGAGACTATCCAGACGTGACACTTCCCAGAAACCGACCTATATACTGACAGTGTCCTGTGTTGTGAAGATTTTTAAATCTTCTGTACGAGTAGTGGTTAAAGTATCCATATATGTCAGTTTGGATTCATATGTGGTTAATTTGCTTCATATTTCAAAACACTTAACACTTCTACCAGCATCTCTCTCTTCCTCTAACGCATTAATACAGAGAGGGTGACCATCTGACTGAGGCTGAATCAGCATTACAGAAGATCCTTTTCATTTTTAGATGAAAATAACATAAAAGAGAAAACATTATATCTGGGTCCCCTGCAACCCTGAGATAGGATTTTGTGCTTATTTCTTATCTGCTATTATTCCTTTGTGCCGTAGCACATCGTCTGCATGGCGGCTGAAGGAGAAATCAATTCTGCCGTGAAAAAATCAAAACAAACAAGATTGTTCAGAAAGAGATATATACTGAGAAAGATGGAGAAAAGATCAGGAGAGAGGGAGGAAGCAAGAGAAAGAGTTTTTCTGAAATGAGAAAAGATGAATACATGTATATAGACACACAGTACACGTCAATTATGAACGCTTTTGCCAAAAGCCTTAATAAGCAACTCTGTCCTCCAGACTAACTCGATTCAGAAATAACAGTCGACTCAGCTGTTTGGCTCTTGCTCTAGCCTCAGGCCTGAATCTCACATAACAGTCCCCCTCTGTACAGCGCTCACACAGACTGTGGAGACTGGAGCTGCTACTGAATGGCCCAAAAAAAAACTGTTAACACAGTCCATAGTTGAATGTTGAGGCATTCATTTTGCTCTCACTGCCATTCAGAAACAAGTTTACCAGCAAGTGTCTGACATATTCATCAATATATTTCAACTCTGACAGAGGATTGATATAAAATTATAATATCCTTTTTACATTCCCTGCCTCTTCTCTGTATTGTGGTTACATAATTGATGCAGTTCATAAATTAACTGTGTCCTTATCTGATGTTCCCAGCCTGCTGCTCTCTGGCTGTCTGAGTGTCTCATGTGGTGCATTGTTCTGAGCCACTGTGACATTCACTTCTGTGATATTGACAGGAGGGGCTCACTTTGGGATTAGCACTTCAATTTCCCCGACAAATGTTTGTTCTGACAATTTCTTATAGTTCCCGGAGGCATAGCACCGGAGTCGCTCACTTTCACCCCGCTGGATGACATGATCTTCCTGAAGTGGGAGGAGCCTGTCGAGCCCAATGGCCTAATTACCCAATATGAGGTGAGCCCAGAGAGACACTCTGCTGAATTTCTTTTTGCTCTTTTGGGAATACTACACAGTGGATGTGCTGTCAGGAACTTTTTTGTTTTCTACAGACAGGTGACAAATAAAAAGAAGAAACCAACATTAAGTGTCTCAGTTAGTGCTACCAGAACAGCTTCAGTGCTCCTGGGCATAGATTCTACAAGAACTCTACGGGAGGGATGAACGTCATTCTTCCAAAAGATATTCCCTCATTTGATGTTTTGATGAGCACTGTTTAACACATTGGTCCAAAATCTCCCATAGGTGTTCAATTGGGTTGAGATCTGGAGACTGTTAAGGCCATAGCATATCATTGACATCATTCAATATACTCATCAAACAATTCAGTGACCCCTTGTGCCCTATGGATGGATGGGGGATGGGGGCATTTTTCAGGTTTTTCCTTGAAATTTGTCATGTGTCTGTAGTTGGCTAATGCTTCCCCTTGCCTTTGGGGACCAATTGGGAGAGAAACTGCATTAAATTACTATCTAACTATCTCAGCAGCTTAGGTTAGAGCAGATAAACACCTTAACACACTGTTAAATCCATTCCTTACACTTTTGGCCTTGCTCCTTTTTGGATTTTTGAAAGACTATTAAAGAGACAAAAAAAAAAAAAAAAATCTTTAAACTCTATTTTCATGGTTTTAGGACTGTAACCCTTTAATTTCTGAATTACACCTGATAGAAAATGAAGCTAAAATTAGAATTAAAAGCCTAGAATGCCCTAACGGTTCCCCACTGCATGTTACTGATTGGACAGTCACTGAATTAGGGAGGGGGGGTTTGTGAACACCTAGAACACTTATGTAGAAGTTCAAATTTCTATTTTTCAACTGAAAAAATGTATCTCAACTTTTCAGCTATCATAGATAAGAGGTCTATTAAGTGCACAGAAAAGTTGAAATTTGAACACCATGACAACTGGGCAAACTCCATCTACTGAGGAAGATGGGTGATGTATTGTGAAACTCCAGAAGAGCTGCTATTTATGGGCAGATTGTTTACACCAGATGTCGGTACAGTCTGTTTTTTGGGCACTCTATATTGTGTTTTTATTTTCTAACTGTAGCCCAAATAATAATCTAATACTCCAACAGATAATCAGCACATCCACTAACGCTTTAGACTCAATATTTATGGCAGCACAAAGTTAATCTCAAGCAACACTACAACATTCTTATCATTTTCCTGGAACTGAAATGCACCTGTTCTTTTGGTATTTTCATGCTGATTGCATAAATTACTCTCCTCTATATTTGTTGAGCCATTTATTTCAAGTGCCACTGTTACTGGCATAATACAGATATGTAATCTCCAAACCACTCTGCTTTATATTCCTCTTCTTCACCCGAACCTTTATCACAAGGTGCACTGCGCCTATGTGAGCGAACACAGCAGCACGATTTGGATTCACTTTCACTGGCCTTGTGCACATGGTCCGGCACTTAACGCTGGTTTTGTCCCATTACAACAGAACCCTGCGTGATAACTCACATGTATGTGTTGTGATGTAGGCCCTCCATTTAGTGGATAACGATTTTATATTGGCCGTACACCCTGTGTCTGTGGTTAGGCATGAGTAGGCCTGCCTACCTATCCTCAAGCCTTCTTTCCTTGGCCTCTCTTGCAATGTCGCCTCAAGGATATTATTAAATAGGATTTGTGGTTTGACATATAAAGTGGGGGCTGCACAGGATTTTTTACTCTGTAGTGTGTTGATCTCCCTCGACTGACAGAGAAAGCTTCATACAGAGCTGTAGAAATCCTCTTCATTTCTCTCAGATTAAACCATTGACCACTCTGCCTGAGCCCATCGACCGCCATGCTGTCCTGCAAGCCCTCCTCGCTGCTCTGTGCTCTGTCGGGCATCTTTTATGTCTGCCTTTGTAGAGGAAACACAGAGGTCTGTCTGTGTTTAGTCTCTGGTTGGCTCATAATTCTATCTTCACACTAAGGAGGCATGAGCAGGGATTAATCTGTTCTTATGATAATCAGGACAGCTTTTGGTTTGGCTTGAGTGGTTTGTGTGTGCAATACATGCATATGAGCATATAAAGTACATAGTGTGAGTGTGTGCGCTCATTCCTTGAATGAAGTGGATCTCTAATGTACATCCTAATATGCTCACCCTTGTCTGATTGCAGTAAGGTCATCTCCTTTAGCTCGCCACTCTTTGAAAGAGTATAAGTGGAAATTCTCATGAGAGTGCCGAGCAGGCGAGGGAAATCACCTCTTGAGGAAAAACTTTAGAAAAGATTTCACTTTTAAAGGACACTTATGCACAGCAATTTTTGTATTAATAAGAGTTAATAGGACTCATAAACACTTAGCAGTATTGATTAAAACACTTGAATACACTTTTTTTACTGTGTGGTGTCAGAAAATAATAGAAAATAATTTACCACTCAGAACTTTTTGAAAAGCTTCAGGTATGACTTTGACTTTGACTTAACAGTGCCAATGCCAATCAAGTCCAATTCATCTAAAACCATAAACCCATGAGCAATTAGCACATTGTCTTAGAGAAGCAAATTAATTTCTGAGTGAAGTGAATCATATCAATCAAACAGTCAAGTTACTACTTATGACAGAGCCATTTTTACATCAAGTTATTGACCTCTGCTGATTAGTTACAAACTCTAAAATCTAAAAATGAATCTCTCACTTGAAATTTGTTACAGGTTACAATGACAAAGCCTGAAGTCAGCACTAAGTTGACTCTGGTGTCTCTTTTTTTCTCTTTTCTCATCACAACAGATCAGTTACCAAAGTATTGAGTCGTCTGATCCGGGAATCAACGTCCCAGGACCTAGAAGAACAGTGTCAAAGCTGAAGAATGAGACTTACCACATGTTCTCCAACCTCCACCCTGGAACTACTTACCTAATCTCCGTGCGAGCCCGTACAGCCAAGGGCTTTGGCCAGACCGCCCTCACTGAAATCACCACTAACATCTCAGGTATAACCACTGCCTGACTAACTGAGCGAGGAGGTTGTGTGAAAGCAGCTGTAAAATGTTAAAACATTAATGGCAGCCTCTCCATGTAGTGGCTGCTCTCTACGCCACCACTGATGCCGCATGCAGGTACAACACTATACTTCACCCACTGCGTGCTATAATTAGGATCTGGGTTTTTTTCTCTCTCTTGACCTCGGTATCTTTTCTCTCTCGCAGAGGCAAAACTACTGCTCCCAGAGTATAAGAGTTATTTTCCATTGCCTCTCTGAAATAGTGACACACTGTCATCTCTCAGTTCTCAAGACATAAATTAAGTCGTAGGAAGCAGAGAAACACCACAGAGGGGACACTGCTGTGTGTTATGTATAAAGAAAGATGCAGTGCGTTCTTGGGACCGGAATGTCACATCGGAGAGTCTCAGAGCTTATTACTGGTGATAGAAACCCAGCCTTGGTGTTTCTGTTTCCTTTTAATGATGCATTTACGCTTGTTAAGGGATGGGATTACACCTCTTAGGAACACACAACGCAGCCACTCCCACCCTGTCATGCTCACACACTTACTCTCTCTCTTTCACTCCTTCTGCCCCTATCTCTTCGCAGATAGGCCCGGTTTGTTTAATTATAGATTTAGCACACAATCGCTGCTTACTGGCTGTATTTCAGACAGATCGCTGGCACAAAGCCAGACCACAGATAGAGTCCAAAAGTCTTTGCAGATCATCCTCAACCACCTCCACTGGCCCACGGTGCAGAACATTCACTTACACTGAGCGTCTCTCAAATCGGCGCTGACAGCTAGCAAACACTGAACACCTTCAACAGCTACTACTGTCAACATCTCCAAGCAATACCCACCGCAGAGTATCCTGCTACACACATTTCCTCACACACACACACACGCACGCACACACACGCACGCACACGCACGCACATGCATATGCATATGGACGTGTGCTGCGCCGTGGCTGATACACAATCATTCTTCAAACAGACTCTATCTGGCAGCAGGCATCAAACTCTCTTTTAGTTCTACAAACTGCAGCAGACCTTTAGCGTCAACAAACGCACATTCAGTATTCCTTATTGCCTCACCTTAATTGATGTCAGCTCTTTTTTGCTGTGGTATTAGCGAACGGCTATTTTAATATAATAATCATCGATTCCTCATGAATAGTTTGCTCTTCTTTCCCTTCACTAATTGACGACTGATATTAAAGAGAAATGTGCCGCCACATCTCCAGGGAGGAGCAAGACTTCAGCCAAATACTTTCAAATGAGAAACCCATTCAATTTAGCCTCACTCCTGACTTTTAATTGGACTTGTGTCCAAGACAACTAGAAGGGAAATTCAAACAGTGCACTGAATATGAGGATATGGGTATTGGGTATATTAACACTGTTAGCCATTTATGCGGAGAGAAGGGATGGCTCTTTGCTAAAATTAAATGGTCTGTCTGTTTCATGAGACGTTGAGGGGCTGAACACATTTATGTGGAATGAAAAAGAGGGAAAGACTGTGTTTAAACTGAATTAATGTGGTCTAAAAGAGCACTGGGTGAGGCCTGTGTGTTTGTGTGTGTGTGCATGTGCAGTAATTATTTTTGACATGTAAACTTAATGCGTTTCTGTTTGTGTTCAGCTCCCACATTTGATTACGGAGACATGCCGTCCCCCCTAAGTGAGACAGAGAGCACAATTACTGTCCTGCTGCGCCCTGCTCAAGGCAGAGGGGCACCTGTCAGGTGAGGAAATGATCTTAAATGTACATATCAGATCTTTCTTTTTTTTTTGTATCAGACATGGCTTATTAAAGGTGCACATCCACCCTGTGTCCAGCACATACCAGGTGGTGGTTGAAGAAGAAACCGTTAAGAAAGTAAAGAGGGAGCTGGGGCTTCAGGAGTGTTTCCCCTTGCCTATGTCCCACGGCGAGGCCCAGGCCCGAGGCACACCACACTACTACACAGCCGAGCTGCCACCCAGCAGTCTGCCAGAGGCCAGTCCCTTCACTGTGGGCGACAATCACACTTACAACGGCTACTGGAACAGCCCTTTGGATCCGCGCAAGAGCTACCTTGTCTATTTCCAAGCTATGAGCAACTTTAGAGGGGTGAGTGATTTTCAAGTGCCACCAGTGGTGCAACAGATCTGCCAATACTTGATCCTCCAGCTGTATGTATTAGTATTCAGGGTAATTCTCCGCCAGCAGTGAATGGTGTTAATGAATATCTGTATTTACCAATGCTGTGGTTGACAGTGTAGGGCAGTTTGTATTGTCTGGGCTCACAACCCTTGACAGGGTATTTATCCTGTGAAAGGGATTGTTGAATGGAAACGTATTCGGCTGGCACTGTAACTATTTGGAAATTATGTATGTTTATATCCCACTCCTTTGATTCTTTGCAAACAAAGGATGTCTGAAACAGTGAATTACTTGCATGCATTACTTACAGTTAGCGAAGCTGTGATTAGCTGGAACTACTCAAAGTCAACAATGTACTTCACGTCACTTCATCCGTCTTTCATTTTCTATCCTTTTCCTATTCTGTCCTATTCCTTTCATTATCGTCCTGATATACTCCTCTCTTTCATCACACAGTTAATCAGAGGATTATCTTTGAAGATAGCCAGTGATTCCACGTAACAAAAACTTTGTGAGTCTCAGTTGTACACGTTTTAGCTAGGTAACAATGTGTTATTCCACACTGTGTGTGTTTCACCATTCTTGAGCATACAAAGCCCTCCGGTCATACCAGGAGGACGCCACATTACCTTTCCAAATTCCATTACAGGAAGAGCTGCTACCTGGGTGATGTAATTACTTAAGGATAATTGGGCACAGGTGCAGATGATCAGAGGTAGAAAGCTGCTGCTTTAATATTCACAGACTGTGGCAATGTAGCTGAGAAATGTTGCCGTAGGTAACGCAACCCTCTGTGATCATCAGCTGGGAACAAATACAGGCAAGCTGGGTTAGCGGTCTGTCAGTGGCTGGTACTTTGTGATCACGTCACTTTCTTTTCTTTTTCTTTCTTGTTTTTGCATCGGACGTCTCTGTATTATAAAGTCCCATGAACAGAGCTGGGTGGCTCATCCCCACCAGTAGCATCTTTTTCCAACCCAGTGGAGAAACACACGGAGGGAGTGCAGTGTGAGCACTTCACACAACTAGGCTACTAAGCATGGGATTAGATAGGGGAGGCCTGGCTTTACCGGCGGATGGGATTAGGTTTTGTTTTGCCTGGCAGGGGGCCAACATCCATGACCCACAATGAGTGGAGCACAGTGCCAGATCACACAGCCAGCACTGTCCCCCAGTCTTTCAAACACTGTTGCCTTTGCATGCAAATACAGTAGCAGACAGAAATCTGTTGAAATCTGGGCAACAGCCCTGTGTTGGTGCTGCAGGACTGAAACAATTCCTTTTGAAAGAACAACAATGTGCTGGGAGGGCAAGCAACTTAATTTTCAGTTTTATTCAAAAAATCGACAACATTTACTCCTGAAAACACATAATTACAGACTCAGCTTGAATCTAGTGTCAATATTTCAGGCACTAGGCCTTTGTGTATGCAAAGTCTTTGTTGTTGGTTCATTGTTTCCTGTTTTTAACCGCAAGAATTTTTTAATCAAGGGCTTTTTAGTTGGATGTCAGCTAAAAAGCTAGTGATTTAACTCAATTCAATCAATTCTATACTGTTGAGGGGCAGCTTGTTGCTGGGCATATAACCCATCAACAGCAAGGCACAGAAGGCATGCCACAGCAGGCTAATGGCAACATGAACTAACACTGACCGCAGCAGAAAAAAATACTAATTAAATGCTAATTACATAAAGTAAAATAAAATAAAGGATCGTAAAATAGCAGCAATTCAACCAATAACAGACCAGCAAATAATATGACACTGATGCTTTCTTTTGGTTGTTGTTGATATTATTAACATTACAGAGTTATTGTTTTTCACTTTGCAGCCTTTTGACAGTGGTCACATCCAAGTGTTAATGTGAGAGCCTATTAAAACCACAGAGCAAATGTTCAGGTTTGGCTCACGCACTCTGTACGGACTGGAAATGCTCTGCAATTGCTAAATGTGTTTTTTGTTGTTCTGTATCTTCTTTTGTATTTTATCTTCCCACTTATCCTCAGTGTGCAATTATGAATTTCAGGCCTTTTACATTTTAGCACTGAGCTCACACTGTCACAAAATGAAGGCTAGGAAAGAGAATTTCTAAATTTGATTTTCTACAGGAGCATAAATGCTTCCAGAATACTCATGTACTGTGGGATATTTTAGTTTTAGTTTTTGGATTGTATACAGAAGAGGGAAAAATAATTACCGTATGCCTACTCATTTAAGAAGAAGAAAAAAGTGTACCTGCTCTTGAACTAAAAGGGTCGCTGGCAGTGAAAGCAGCTCTCTCCTAAGAATGAAACATCAGAAAACAGCCACGTATTTACTGGGATAAAACAATTGCTGATAATGGTTTCTGCATATGGAAGTGGTGATAAAGTTGTCATGTTTGGCAATCACTTGAAGTATTTGCTCCCTGAACACCTTATTAAAATGTAAAGTGAATTGTCAGCCTGCTTATTTTATCATTTAATTGTACAGCATAATAAGTCAGGGTCTGTGTGGTCTGTTTAACTTTGTGTTTGTCTTTAATGTCTTTGTGGAGGGGGCAACATTGCACCTAATCCTCGATAACAGTGGCAGCAATGGGAATAATTTGAACAGTATATGGGACCCACAATATTTGGCATTTACCCATGCTAATTATCTGGAGGGTGGCTGTCGGGCCTCTCTAATTGCTTTGCTTGATCCATCTAAAGAGGTGCTTGAAAGACTGTGGATGGAGAGTATAGGTTTGCAGGTCACAGAACAGCCGTTTATAACATCTACACTTACATCTCCCAACTTTTTACACACGCGCACACAAACACACACTGCATAACCTTGAGTGTGTGCCGTGTTTTTGTGTTGGCATTTGTGTTTTGTGTTTAAAATTGCCAGGAAACACCCGCCCCTCTGGTGTGACTTGCACAGCTCAGCCAGACATGTGATGTGTGTCCCACAATCTGGAGCTTGCCAATGAACTCTCTTGCTGAGCCGGCAACACAGTAATTCAGATGTACTATCTATCTATCTATCTATCTATCTATCTATCTATCTATCTATCTATCTATCTATCTATCTATCTATCTATCTATCTATCTATCTATCTATATGTATATATAAAAATCTATATCTATATATATATTTTTTTTCATCTACAATAAACAGATGTTAATGTTCTCTGCCTTAATTTGGCAAAGCTTGTAATGATTGAATGTGCTATTTCAAATGCTTTCTCCATAAAGGAGGCAGGTTCAGTTGAATCTGCTCCTTTTGATGGAAAATGTTTCTTATAATTGAGTCAATCCCTCAAAAGCTCAAAGTTACCAGTCAGCATTTATGGAGGCACAGAAATGGACCTGGGATGCACTTTTTAAACGATTTGATTAATGATTATTAATTAAAATGTGTCATGCAAAAGGCAATGCCACTTTTCAACCTCAAGTGCAGCTTTTTACCCACAATCAAGATGTTTAACACCAAAATATCTACCACAGTTTCAGAACAAATAATATTGTTTGTTTATGTGGCTGGTAAATTTAGATGAAACATATTTAACAGGGATTCAAGAATACAGTTTGTCGCCATGCTAGCACCATCAGCAGTTGAGAATTTTGTATTTGTCCAAAGCATAGTAAGCATGTTAGCATGATAATCTTAGCATTTAGCACAAAGCACCGCTGTGCCTACATATAGCCTCTCTGTAAACTCTCTTGTTGTCTTATGGTCCTCTGGTAAATAAAAGACATTTTGTTTGGACTTCAGGACCTCTGATGTTTATGTACCAACAGTGGAAAGAAAAGATGGTTTTCCACATTCTGAGCTAAATGATTTGAAATGAAAACATCATATTCTGCCACAAGGAGTACAAGCGTCTCTGCACTGCAGCGTTTCCTGTGTTATTTTTTATTTTTATTTTTTTATCAGTTGCATTAACCCTCGACTGTGAATTGTATCCAAATGCAAAGAAAATCATACAAGGTCATCCAGTAAAAATCATTACATTCTCCTTAAAAGAGGGGCACAATGTTAGATGATGTAGAGTAAATAATAATAATAATATCTTTTGAATAAAGTTCAAAGTTCAAAGTGTCTTTATTGTCCCTTACAGGGAAATTGATTTGCAGCCAGGATATGCAAAAACACCCATACAAAGAAATACATAGCACCAAACACTTATGGACATCAACAGTCTGACATGATGGCCAGAGTTATATGTAAGAGTTCTTATATATCTAGCTGGATTGCCATATACAGGTATCCACATGAACCTGCTTATTTCTCTGTTTTGTTTTTGTTTTTTTTGTCTTTTCAATCTCATAGTACAGGCATATAAATAACAGAAGACAAAATAAGACCAGTTCCCATTAGTAAACATGCAGTATGTCAATCAGTGAGGCTGTTGATTTTTGTGGAAATAAAATGAAAGTCTCTCTGACAGACGACGTGTTTGTCTGCGGTTTGGGTCTGCATTTTCAGATCAAACCACCGGGTTAAGAACTTGTTAAAGTGTCTGTCAGCCTGAAATGGATTTTCAATTTTTAAAAAAAAAAAGCAAATTAACTGGAGTTTGAGGAAAGCGCTTTTTGCTCATTTACGAATGGACAAATTTGCATGATTGTCCTATAATGCCTGAATTAGCATCTGTAAATCTTAATTTGATAATGCATCTCCTCCAAGAGGTTGGAATTGGATTACAGTCTTGGATCTCATTAGTGCTGTTTGACAAAGGTCCTATTCATAACACTGCAATGTCATCAGCTGAAATTTGAATAAAATTAATTCCTTTTCATAGTGGTGCATTGGTCTGAAACCCTCCTCTTAATTATGCTCTCTCCCTTTCAACTCTCATCGTTTCTCCTTCAGCAAGAATCTCTAATCTTCTCAAACACTTCACCACAGCTCTCAGATTTTAGATAGTTTGTAATCTCATGTCATCAATAGGACTCTTAACTCAGGGGTATTTTGTCCTTTTAGCCTAAATCAATTTCTTTTGTCTCTATCATGAAGTAATTATGCTTTTTTAGAGAAGACTATTGCAACCCGCACATGTTTTGTAATTTGAGTAAACAGAGGGTAGAAACAGCAGTGAAGGGAGACAGTGATGTGATTCCAGATGTGGTCCAGAGTTAACATGTCGACTGGGGAGTAAATATCATGTATTAATATTCATTCAGAAAGTGTGTTTTGTCTGTTGTAGTCTTATTTTCAGCATGATATATGTTTGTGTCACAGCACAGTACTTCACATCATCCTTTTTTTTTATCACATCTTTTTTTTTTTTTTATGAAAATACAAAGCAACGCTCTCCCCTCTGACGTCTGTGTTTTCTTTCTCTTTCAGGAATCCAGAATAAACTGCATCCGCATTGCCCGCAAAGGTAATTCAACATGAATATTTCTCCTCCTACAAACACTCCGACCTTGAATACATTACACTGCATCATTTCTGAGTGTTTTGCAATATCGTCTACCCTCTCATCGTTCTAAGATAAGAAATTAGGGATGTAATTGGAATGGCGTGGTTTACTAGCTTATATTGCACTGTTATTCACCTCTCTCTCAAGTACAAAGGTGAGGGTCTGGACAAATTTTCTCTGACGGTCCTGGTTGTTTAGCGGTGGGCCTCAGAGAAAAGGGCAACAAGCAGGGAGGGATTAGAGGTCAGGCTTTCATCCTGTTTGTTTGGGGGCAGACGCTGGGACACACTATATCAAAGGCAGTCTCTTTGTTCTCATCAGCAGCCCACTAGACGGCTACATCTGAGGGCTTTGACCTCAGCACCGTCCAGAAGGGTCCTCCAGATCAAAACTTCCAGATGGAGCTACCTTGGCCTATCAGTATGAGAAAGCCCTGCCCCCCCCCCGCCCACCCACCCCTTCTGTAGCTCAGCTTTTGGATTCATGAAAAGGGCATAGAAATTGACTCTAAGTCCTGATGGCAGGAGAGCCCCTGTGCCATAATACACTGTCAGATCACTGTGAATAAAAGTCATGTATTTATAGTTTTCATAGCACCGCTACAGTAAGCAGAGCCTTGCAAGTAAATTGACTTGGCGGGGTGTCTTTTTTTGGTGAAGGCCTCTTTTTGTGAGTGAAAAACTTAAAGAGATGAGGCTCTCCTCAAGCATAAAGCCAAAAGGCAAGGCCAGCCATTTCAGCTCAGCGTCTCACTCCATCTGCCCCACACAGACACCCGGTTGGGCATTGATTAATTATGCTTTCACGCAGCAATAGGCTTTACACCTTGCTTGCCTTTTTTCTTTTGCGCATTTCAAAGAAATTTCAAAATGCGCAATGAAGCTTCAACAGTTAAAACATTTAATTGTATTATTGGAGAAAACAAAATATAAATGATAAAATCATTTAGAGAGAACAGAGGGGAAGATAGAAAAGACAAAGGGGAGAGACGTGCACAATGGCAAGCAATGATTGCCAGCATTACATCATCCACATGCAGGGTGATGTAACCTTGTAACTGGAAAAAAAGGGGGAAAAAAAAGGCAAATTGATGGGAAAAAAATCTCAGGGTGATTTCCAATTTCAAGGTGCGACAGGTCAGAGGGGTTTTTTTGTTGCTGTTTGAGATCTCCGTGATCCCTCTACCATTAACACAGCCTCTGCATCATCGCTTCCTAAGCCGTTATTATCATGCAGCCCATCACAAGTAAAGTGGAGGCAAATGATTCTGGCTTGGATAACAAAGCTGGAGATTACATTTCAACTTCCAGGTGACAGTTTAATTAAGGATCCTCTGGCAGGCTCAACACAACAACAGACTTCCATTTCTCCTCTAAATGCCAATTTCCACCATCGGGCAGCTGGCAGGTGCATGGATTCATGTGGAAATCTATTTCATGCTCGTGTTTGGCTTAATAGAAATTTTGTGGCTAAGTGTGGCAAAACCGCCTTATCTATCCAAAATGTCAGAAAACTGAAATAGATTTTTCACCTCCTCATATATGATTTTTTAGCCAGTATAAAGTACCCCTGTATTTCACTTGTTGATGTAATTTTAAATGAAGTCACAGCATAACATAAACAGGGAGTGCTGAGTTTGTGGCTGAGGATTTTTTTTGAATGGAGCACCCACAGACAGACAGAAATCAGTTGCTCACAGACACAAAGGCATCTTAATATGATGGTGTGTCCCTGTGTGAGAGTAGAAACCACAAAGAAAATCATCTTTGATTCACAGTCTGACTAAACCCTCTCCTTCCACTACTGCAAACTGAAGTCTAAACATCTAATATGGTAACTATACACTGAACAGCAAACACCGAAATGTCGCATTTTTGGAACAACATAGGGATAGCAACTTAAAAAGCCATGTCATAAGCAATTTTAGAAGGAACAGCTCCTTTCTAATTTCAGGCCAATTACTCGTTTTCCGTATTCAGATATGCCAGATACCCATCATTGATTAAAAAATCCTGCCAAATAATGTGATGATATTGTCCTACTTTTATCGTTATTTAGGATGAGGGTTTTGAAGCACCCACAAAGTGCCCACGGCTGCAGATAGTTGGGCTAAAACATGGCTCTGTTTTCATTTCCCCTGCCCCAGATCTGATTCTTCCCCAGCAGGCTGCAAGATACAGCTCTATCCCCAGGCTTGCTCTGACTTTCTACCGCTCTCCAGATAGGTTGAGCTGTTCCAATAGGCTCAGAAGGGCTTGTTTCAGGGCTGTCAAGGCCTGGAGGACAGGCTGACACACACAGAAAAAACTAGATCAGTGGGCCCCTAGAACAAGACAAATAAAGGCCCTCTGCTCAGCGCCATTTACATAAGTATGAAGCTTTATTCCAGAGAAATGTAACCTACTATTATGATTACGACCTTTCCAGTAGCTCTCAGACATCAGGGCACCTTGAGATTATATTGCAGAGCTGTGTGGATGACTTGTGACTGGGAAAAATCGAATATTTAATTCAGTATTGAATAGAAATGCATGTCAAAGTTTCAGCCCTCCAACCGTAGCATGCAAATGCACAAGTGCAGTATCAGTACCATAAAAAGTCAGTTTTTTTGATGCAATGTCATTGTGCAACTCTAATATTAACAATAAATGGAAGAACAATGTATTGTGAGGCTTTTTTGAACGTGACTAATGAATCTGAGCAAATTAGCAAATCTTATTTTGGCATATTTGCAACACTTGTGAAAATCCTCTACAACAATTTCTAGCAGTGTGTTCATTTTCCCATCTCCATTCCTTTTCTGTAAACATCAGCACAAACGTCGAGCAGTCTAAATAGCTGGTTGAAAACGATTCAGACGAATAAACTTATTCTTAACTTATTCTGTGTGCAAGGCAATCATTTTGTTTGTCAAAGCACAAATTGTCATCCTGTACTGTATCTCTGCAGACTCCGGGTTTGTTGGTTTGGACAGCTTGGACAATCGACAATGTCCCTTCTCAGGCGTCATGTCTTTATTCACATGTCCCTTTCATTTTTGGTATTTGAAAATACCTTTTGAAAATCCCACTGCTAGTAAAATGTAGGTTTGGCATTAAGTAGACTATTATGAATCATTGGATGTCCTCTCAGAGGTCAGAATATGCGATGTGAATGTCTGTATTGTTATGTGAAAAGTCTACATTTGAGAAAAAAAGTTTTATGTGCATGAATGATATGTTCTTCAAAGCTGTGAATTCTCAATTTGCCTCTCTATATCAAATTTTTCACACTCTTTGCTTTAAACTGCTTAAACTGAATCACCTGCTCCGCACCTCCGCTCCCTTATGTGCTATATTTGCATTATGCCTTTTTAATGTGCGTGTCTCTGTTTCTGCTTCTAGCGGCGTGTAAAGATCACCGCAAGGCTCTGGAGGTGTCCCAACACTCTGAGGAGATGGGGCTGATTCTTGGGGTGTGCGCCGGAGGTCTGGTAGTGCTCATCCTTCTGCTGGGTGCTGTCATCATCATCATTAAGAAAGGGTAAACGTCTGCTGACAACTGTTGAGTACGAAACATGCCTCATTATGCATAATCATACCACATCTCCCACATTGATTTTCCCTTTGTGTTTTGTTTTGGAGCAGTTCAGTAATCAGTTTTTATACTTGCTGAACTTTCCGAAAGGTCACGCTTGTTTAGGGAAGATGCCGGACCGACAGCCAAGCGCTGCATTGTTTTCACTCCCTTATGGTGCACCAGAGGGACCAAACAACTCTCATCTGCAGAGCCTATCTGAGTGTGAAGTATTTAATTAAAGGCGGATGCAATTCAATTAGCCACTTAATTACGCACACCAAGCAGAGGCCTGACCCTTAAATGAGATGGTAATTGGTAGGGAAAAGGTGCTTTTAGAGATTATTAGCCAATGATCCCACAAGTCTACAGTAGCTCATCCACACCTCTGGCTCTGCATCTATTTAGCTGCGGCTGTAGGCCAGCCTTTCAAACAAGGCTTAACCGGTCTTACTTAAATAAGATACACTGAAATCCAAAGAACCCGCCATGCCAAATGTGAAGTTACAGGGCACCAGCAATCATTATTAAATGACTGAAAAAATGTCCAGGCTAAAATTGAATAGGTTGATTTTGAAAGTCACCGCTGCTCGTGCACTTTAGCCCGGGTTCCTCCGCTAATCCACCATGAATCTTGCGTTTAGGGAATTGATTACTAAATTTGCTGCGACAGGAATCCACGTGGTCTAGTCCTTGAAGTGTAACACAGAGACATATTCGATTGAAGGAAACACACATTTTTCTGCCTCGCTGCAGTTTGGTCCGTCTGCACTTGCTTGGCATGTTCCTATGTGTCATGCGGCCGCCCGCAAAGCCGAGCTCATGAAGAGGACGGTTCTCATTTTCCCTGTAATCAATGCATTCTGCCCTCAGCTGACATTGCTTTCATCTTACATCTCTTCTTTCTCTTGATTTTTTTTTCTCCTTCTCCTGCACTCTTACCAGAAGGGACTACTACTCTTATTATCCGTAAGTGACTCCACCTCTTTGCTTTTCCATCCTCTTGTGATCCATCATATACATGCTTGTGCTCTGGCTGTCAATCATAAGTCGTAGAGGGAAAGCAACCTTTTTGTCTTTGTTTCTGTCAGTTGTTACCTCCCTGTTTTTCCTTACTAAACATAATGTTTCCTTTTTCTCTCTGCCTCTGTCTCTGTCTTTCTACCATCTCCCCTGTATGCCTATTTCCCCTCCATTGTCTTCTTCATCCTTTAATAGGAAACCAGTGAACATGAATAAGACACCCATTACCTATCGGCAGGAGAAGAGCCATATGGGCTCCATGGAGCGCAGTTTCACAGACCAGAGCACCCTACAAGAGGATGAAAGAATGGCTCTTTCCTTCATGGATGCACACACCTGCGGCACACGCAGTAAGATAAATGCACTAAGACTCACACATGTACAGTACAACCTATAAGCTTACCTTCCAAAACTTGACGTACATCATCCTAGACTTTATATAATCTCTTCGACCGTCACTCATTCTCTCCATAAATGTCTGAATGACTGTCGAAGATAGTAATCACCCTGCATGAAAAACATTGTTCTACCCTCAGCTATCCACTGCCTGGAGCTGACACACAGAGAATAGCACTAGATTTCAAAGAAATGAGAGAATTGCACTAGTGAAGTAACGTGATTGAATGAATCAAAATAAATGATTTGTGATTGTCCTCTGTACTTTTCATCTTGATCTCCTTTCTAATATTGTCGGTCTCGCAGAAAGGAAAATAGATGTGTTTAGTCTAAAGTTGATACAGATCCTGGTCTGCTTCACACACCATCAGAGACAGAGCTGCTGTCGTGTCTATATAAGCTCTAATATGAAGACATCTTTGCAGAGACAAACCTTATCAAAGTGACACGCCTTGAGCATACACTGTGTGTGTTAATATCAGCATGCAGCGAGACATCACTGATAACACCAGTGTATGGCACCCAGAACTAAATGCACAAAGTGCCATAAAAAAGGTTCATATCATAACCTGTCTCGTACATGAACTTTTCAACCTTCAGTTGCATCGAAATTGCAAACATTGCCTGTGTGTGATTCAGGTGATGCTCGCAGTTCAGTGAATGAGGCCAGCAGCCTGCTGGGAGGCTCCCCGAGGCACCAATGTGGGCGTAAAGGCTCCCCCTACCACACAGGCCAGCTCCACCCTGCTGTCCGAGTGGCTGACCTCCTCCAGCACATCAACCAGATGAAGACTGCCGAGGGCTATGGCTTTAAACAGGAGTATGAGGTGATATAATGTTATTAAACTCTTCTCTTACATTCTTACATATGACATAATACAACAGAGACAACATTTACTCTTACACTCTGAGAACATGAAATGAACAGCAAATATTGCTGCTGGTGAACTTGTGTCAAGTCGTGTGGACAATTATGAAAGAGAGGTTTTAGGACTGCATTATTCTAAAGAGCAGTGATATGTGAGTTGTCTGTCTTCACACTGTGATTGTATTCTGTATCAAGCGACCTTCACTGTAAATTCAACTGCACAACCATCATACAGCGAGTGGGAGAGCTAGAGTCAAGAACACTCAAACTGCAGTGGTGTAAATTCAGCATCACAGCTGGAGGTTTATTCATCTTTACTTTAATTTCTATGCTGGAAATGGAAAATTGGTAGAGTTAGCTTTATCTATATGTAACTTATTGAAAGCTTTATTTATTTCTGTGCTGAGGCTGTCAGTAATGTTAGAGCATCTCAGTTTCCATAGGGAGAGAAATGTTGTCTGCATGATGTGCCCCACTTCCCGTGAAGAGTGATTTCTATAGTGTTGTGTGTAGTATCTGCTGAGTGTCATGCTAAAACTATTGTGGTAGAAGGACTTCAGAGATGTGGAACTCCAAAGTGTCATTGAAATAGAGTCAAAGACACTTAACCATGAAGTAGCTCTGCCTGCTTTTCTCAATGATGCACAAGGTCACTGCCTTCATTGAAACTGCTGGTTATTGTTACCATTACAATAGCTAATGTAACTAATCTCTAAACTAATTATTAAACTAAAACCTGCAGTTCATCCGTCCATCAATCCATCCATCCATCCATCCATCCATTTTCTCCCACTTTAACTGCGTTAAGGTCACAGTAGAAAGCCTCGTTTTCGGGAGGTTTTCCAGGTGCTTCCATAGCATCTGGGCGGTATAATCTCCTGTACTTGGCCTAGTTATATCCTGAGGTCTCCACTCCAGTATGACAGTATACCTGTACAGATGTGACCCGGTGTCTTCTTTACCAGTTGCCAGTAGCACTCCTTTCAATGTGGAAGAGCAGTGTCTCATCAGTAAGCACCCCAAGTTTGCTGAAATTTTTGCCCTACTGAGAACAGCCACCATGTGTAAAAAAAAAAAAAAAAAAAACTTACTTTAGCCTCTTGTATCTATGATCTCATTCTTTCATTTAATGCTTGGAGCTTGTTGCCATAGGGGAGGTTGTAGCAAAGACAAAGCATTGCTTTCTGGGTTAGCTCCCTCTTCACCATAAGGTTTGGGACATGGCTACCCTGATGTACTTCCATGCCTGGTTAACCTGGGTACTCCTAGCACAGCGGAGGAAAAACCAGGAAGTTATAAAGGCCGCTGGTGTAGTACTAAAAGAAGGGAAATCATGGCTAGAAGAGATTTTGCTGCACTACTTGGCACCCCAGGAGGGAATGTAGGTCAGTACCTGGGCTTTCCTCAGCAGGAGCGTTTGACCGTAATTGGCACCATTGTTATAAGGTGGAAGAAGTATTTTGAGGAACTTCTAAACCTTACAGACAAACCATGCTGCTCTGTGCCACAGACACTTCTTGATCATTCTGGGAGTGTCTGAGCCTCTATTCTCTGTAGTAGAAGTTGCATTAGTCAGAGGTCTCCATGGTGGAGGAGACTTATGTCAAACCCCACATATGAGAAGCGCAGATTTTGTCCTGGACCGGGTTTAAATCTGTCATAGATAACTGACATATCACTGAGAATTGCTAATCCTCTTGGTGGATTTTGAAACTTCTGACAACTTCCAAAATATCTTGTGGGAGCTGCTGTGTGAGTGATTGATCAACCTTATTATCCACAAAGGAAATTGATTTGCAGTATAGGCACACACACACACACACACACACACACACACACACACACACACACACACACAAACAAACAAAAAGAATACAAAAAGAACATACAGCGCGAAAACAAGTTACAGATATAGTCCACAGATAGACAGACAGAGTGATTGTGGAGGGCTGCAAGACTACCCAGACGAATCATAGCTGTGAGTTGGGCTTCTTCAAGGTGGACATTGGATTCCGACAAGGATGCATTTTGTCCTCTCACCAGTTTGTGATACTACTGGACCCATGTACGAGACACAACTAAGGGGTTGGGGGGTCAGCATCAACAATACTGAAGCTACCATGGTTGTCTCATCAAGATGAGATTGTGATGAAGTACCCAAAAGTGAGTAGTTTGATTATCTTCATTGTTAGTCAGTAGGAAGGATTATGTGCAATTACTACATGTTGTGGATATGTGCTAGCTTAGAGGAGCCATGTTAGTTTGAATGCACTTGCGTAAGTGGAATCCATCAATCCTCCAATCCTCAATCATCAGAGCGCCCGCCTCACCACCCACTGAAATTAATTAGCCGGGTTAAAAAGGCAGCTGGATCACACTGTTGCTGAGCGTATGAATAAATCATCCTCATTTGGGTCCAAAGAACACCTCTGTCATGACGGCAGGTCTGATGAGGTTAAACCTCTCTGGAGGTGCCTCTAACTAGTGAGTCCCCTGACCACTGCTAACAGATTGTAGGGTGGCAAATAGAGTCTGGGAGGGTTGAGTGGGAAGGGAGGAAAGATGAAAGGGTACAAAGGGAGAAATGTGAGAAAAGAGAGCTCTTGTCTCCCATGTCCTGTAACCTCCAAATAAACTCCTCCCAGTAGCAATGTTAGTATTTACCTCCCTCTGCAGAATATAATGCAAAATAAATGCTCTACAATTCACAAAAGTAACCATCAGACTATGATGCCACGAATGGTGGCCACTATATCTTGTTTAGTATAAGACATTTCACACTGACAAGGTGTCATTTTGCTCTTGATGTTGGCCACAGTTTCACTCGTTCGATCTCTCACAGCAGTGATGGATATATCAAGCGTGCACGATTGATATAGGACTGATATTTGGAAGTCAGAAGTTGAGACCCTCTCACAGCAGAAGTCTAGTGATGCTCCGTAATGATCCTGTTGGTGCTCAGATCCTTAAAGCTCATCACGAAAACAAATCAGACAGCCTGTCATCTAGTGAGGAGTTGATCTTGACATTTATAAGGAAAATAATAGCTTTTAATTCACTATTAATTGCCCACTCACTGTCCAGGAACTTACCAGGAATTGTTCTGAATGTGCTTGCACCACTGCTGTTATTTGTTGTAAATCACTTAAGATTTCTTGGCAGATTATTGCTTGGTTAGTTTCTTTTTTTTTTTTTTTCCAATGCACATTGGAGTTTTAGCCCTGAATTGAACCGTAAGTACAAATATTTTTCTTTTCCAAAACATTGCTTATCCCCCTCCTGCTGTTGCAGTGGCTGATGTCTCTAGTTGTATGATTCATGGCACATAATGAAGGGCCCAGATCTCTGAATGCCTCTCCCCAGTGGAATGATTGTGGCTGAGAGTTGAGATCACACCCTGGAGAGAAGTCCGTCCCTGTCACCCACGGCCTATGGCATTCACGAAAAACAGAAAATGTCTTTTGTCTCTGGTTCATGGTTTCCCCCTCTGGAACTCTGCTTGTAGACTCATTAAATTGTCCCTCAAAGGCAAAACACACTCCACTCAAAAAATCAATACACACCTCTTTGTGTTTTTTTCCCTCTGTGCTAGAGTATGTGTTTTGATGGAGTGTCTCTCTCTATTATGAAGGAAAATGATGAGGAGTATCATATTACACTCCCCTGGAAGGTACAGGTTTTTATTTCCCTGAAGAATACCTATGTTCTGTAAAAACAATGATCAAGAATTTACAGTGAGTTGTATAGAGGGCTTGTATGTGTGGCAGCTGCTGTCACTGCAGTCATATTGGTTTAAGTTCAAGTGCTTGTGTGTGGTTCCTGAATTACCTCTCTGATTGGCAGTAGTCAGTGAACTCAGGAACTATTTTCTCTGAGTTTTTACTCTCATTACAATAACTAAGGGTGTTCCACAAGGTTCAGTTCTAGGTCCAGTTCTTTTTACACTTCAGAATGTTAATGTTCGTCTTAAACTATCTCCACTTAAAACCAAATTTGTGTTGTTCTGTTGAGCTACAGGTAATGTTAGGAAAACTTTCATGCTTACACTGTACAAAGAGAGAGGTACAGAAATACCTTGTTATTTGGATATATGACAAATTCAAATTCAAATATCAAATAGACAATGTTGTCAAGAAATTATGACAAAAACGTATTTTTTTAATAGAAATAGATCAAACTTTCCTCTTCTTTGTGGGGAAAGGATTGTTGAAGCTGTTTTTCTCTCTGTTATGGATTATGGTGATGTGATTTATAGGCATGCCTATGCCTCCACTTTTAAACCCTTGAATGCTGTTCATCATTCTGCTCATGGGTTTATGACTGGTGATATTTATAGTACTCATAATTGCATCCTGTATGAAAAAGTTGGGTGGTTTTCTCTCTGAAAAATGTGATAGGCACATTATCTATTATTCTACGAGGCCCTGACTGCGAAGCTACCATCTTATCTTATATCACTTCTATGCTAAACTAGTGCTATAGAACAGAATTACTTTTTTTTTTAAATAATAGTATTTTTATACTTGTTTTAGATTATTGTTTTCTTTTGCCTTATATCTTTTATTATTTTGTATCTTTTTCAGTCATTTAAACTGTTATCTGACATTATTGTGAATGAGTGCCAGCCCTCAGTGATTGTTTTTGAGTTCAAATAAAGGCAAATAATAATAATATTCTCACTGCAGAACCTGGGGAGTAAACAACAGCAAAGCTTCACTGGAGAACTCAAAACTTCCACTATAACTGCACCTTGAGGCTGAGGTTAGGAAGGATGATGGACTACTGAATTACCCTGCTTCTCTTAAAAACAACCACCTCACGCTACCTTTTTGGTAGCACAAAACTGTTTATTTTATTTATTGACTAGAAATGTTATGTTTATGTGTAATATCTCAGACATCCCGGATTGGATTTTTACTGAATGTAGAGGGATTATCAATCTCATCACTTTTTGCACTTTAAAATTATTGCAGAGAAAAAATTACAGGTCAGAGGCAGGTGACGTAACAGTTATTGAGTGGTGATGAAAGGGAAATTGTCGAGGACAGCATGCTCCCCAATCCTTTGTTGATGAAGGGGAATGATAATGCACACGATAAAATCTAGTGGGATGTTGATAGTACAAAGTGTAATAGCGTTACTAGTTCAGGACTGCACTCATAATTTCTTTCATCTCATTTTACTCATTTTATGTGATTCTCTGAAACAACCCACCCCACTGATCCCTGCCAATGAGGGTTTCTAATCAATCTTCCACGGGTCTGTGTTGTTTCCCTTCCCTTCGATATACTTACACTCTCTCACAGTTTTTCTTGTGTTTTTCCTCTCCCTGCTTCTCTCTTCTCTCTGGAGGGCTGAGCAGAGGAGTGGTGGGAGCAGAGAAACAGAGAGAGCTCAGAGGTCTAGTGTCAAAAATGAGGAGGAGAAAGATGGAAGAGGTGGACAGGGAGAGAAATGATGATGAAGAATGTTGAAGAGAGGTAGGAGAAGGTAAAGAGAATGAGGGATTCAGAGAGAGAGAGAGACAGACCCCGAGAGAGTGCATGAAAAGAAGAGGAAAAAGTGAGGAGGAGGGTGTAATCCCAGGCAGGATTTCACTGGTTCTTGGCTCTCTGTGGGGAGAACTGCTTTGTAATCCCCTGCTCAGCATGCAGACTTGGGCAGAGTTTCACCAAATTCCCCTAGTGGCTGAAAACCACAGGGGGTAGACTGGTATGGGGGGATGTGTGTGTATGTGTGTGCTTTGTTCATTGGTCCTACGGGGCTGTTTACAGGCTTAATTTGGCCCCACAGTGGATGCCTAAAAGTGGCTTATGGCGACGTGTGAGAGTAAGCGCTCGCCAGTGCATCCATGCAGACAGGTGTATGATGAGTGTGATGTGTTATAATACGGCTGAGCAGCCATCCAGCAGGTTCTAGACACTTCCTCTGCCTTCACCCTTAATAAGAGTCATCTCACCACAGAGTGATTTGTGTGCTGTATATAGAAATTTTCAGTAAGTTACATAACAGTAAACATCCGCAGTACTTCATCTCATGACTCATTACTGACTTTTTATTTCAAGTGCCTTATTCCGAAACAAAAGCCTTATAAAAAGAATCTTAAATATGCACCTGATGGTTACATACATGGTGTTAAAGGACTGAAGCTAAAAGTGCAAAAATCTGTCTTGGACAGTGTTGGCTGAGGTTGCTGGAGCATAAACTCCAAATCCAATAAAGACAAGGAGCTAATAACATTAGCCTCAACTCTGATAGCATCCGTCTTCTACCACTGGAGGTAGTTAGTGACATAGCCGAACATGGAGTTCAACTCAGGTCAGAACAGTCAAACGTGCTGTTTAATGCAGTAATGCATTCCTTACATTTTGTCTCTTGTGTTTTTGGTTTTGAAAGAGAAAAAAAACGACACCACCCTCTAAACAATTATTGCTTCTACCTCAGCCCCATGTACAACACTTTGGCATCTTTTGCACAATCCAAAGTTTGACGGACCTGCTCTGCCTAGTTATGTTGTCTAAGTTATATTTGGATAATCACCCTTTGGGGGTGGGGGTTATCGAATGGTCAATATGTGAGGTATGTAATTAAAATTGCCTCCATCAGCCTGCATTGTGATAAACCAAGTGGGAATATAGCAACCAGGTTAAAATGGTAATTATAATCCGTGGCAATGAGGGCTTTAACAAGAATAGGTGCAACTGGTGGTCCATGACTCATGAGGGCTCTGAGATCTAACTACGACTTCATGATGCTCGTGGCATTGTGTTTTTAAATTGCTTATCATGCATAAAGCACCAAACCTCTCTTCTCTTCGTAGGATACAGTGGCTCTTGATCTAAATACTTGAGGGATACGCTGATAGGCTTTTGACATGTTAACTATGAAAAACAAACTTCCTTATCACCCATAAAACAAACAAAAATGTGTGTTGAAGCTGTGATTATGTTTACCTGGGATATTTGAATGCTTAATACGGAGTCTCTTCATCCCTGTAGAGTTTCTTTGATGGCTGGGACTGCACAAAGAAGAAGGACAAAACCAAAGGGAGACATGACACCTTGCTGGGATGTAAGTCATCAGAACCCATTTTATCCTGTATAGAAAAATAACAACATAATAAATATTATTAAAATTTCCTCAACATTTCTTTGCTCTTTTGTTTTTATCTGTCTCAGATGACCGCCACAGAGTCAAGCTCCACCCTCTCCTGGGAGACCCCAACTCAGACTACATCAACGCTAACTACATTGATGTAAGTCTAATCTTGTTTTTCTGCCTTTGTTTGACATGGGATACAAATAGTCAGTCTCTGCTGAGACTCACACCCAAAGCCACAGTCCATCTCTCTCATTCCCGTAAGCCCACCAGTCTGCTGGCCCACTTTCACCTGGAAGCTTTCATCCAATCAAACACCCTTCCTGGCGGTGTTTTGCCAGATGCCATGGTTGTCAATTGCTGCACCGAATCCCTGACCCAGACTAACTCTGCTATCACTTTTATTAAAACAGCGTGGAATAAATGCATTTAATGCCTTGCAGAGGAGATGAACCTTTCTGTAAGATGCCACAAATCCCCCTAAATTAAATAGACATGATTGATGTTATTCAATCTCTGGATGGGCCGGGAGGAGATGATCCTTTCCACTGTTCACCTTAACTGTCTACCACACGTGCAGTGCCACAGTAACATTCTCACTGATCATATGAAATACATGTATATGTTGCTAATGTGTCTCACACAGTCTCATTCATGTGTGCTTTCATTCATGAAAACTAGCTGAGGCTGTGTTTATTCGGAAAGCAGAAGAACCAGAAGTTATTAACAAAAGAAATCAACCCAGATTCTGTAAGAAATGCCATTTTACTAGCAGATATACTGTAGATAGAAACTTGTATTTTGGTTCCCCTGTGAATTTGCTGTCATAGTCCTCAGTTGTTGCTTGTCATTTGAGTTATGTCAAGAGAAGTCTGGCAACCTGATATGATTTCTTTATCTCATAAGATTTATTTTGCATGTCTCTCATTGGGACTACTGTAAAGTAAATATGGCACTCTGTGAGAAGATGAGGCGGGCTGATTTACTCCCACTGCTGTTTGAGGTTGATAAGAGATTGAAAGATCATGTCTCAGTCAAAATGTTTTTAAAGAATATATTTGAAAAATAACTCGTATCATTTTTTTTTTCAGTGAGAGAAAATTACCTGGTGCATAAGTTGACTTGATTTTGGTTGGATTCCTCCTTTAGGCCAAATTGTATCATCAAAATGCTTGACACTACAGGGCTTTTTCCCTCTCTTTTATGTCTCTGTAGAGAATGGCGAGCAGTGAGATGCTTTTAGAGAGTTCATTATGATGAGAGGGCATTAAAAACCTGGCCTGCTGTTAGGACTGTAGTTATTGTGAGGGTCTCCATTAGCGTTAAGGGCACAGAGGTGCAGGCATTAGAGGGAAAACACCACTCAGCAGCCACTACAGTGTCGGTGTCAGTGATGTTACTCCCTGACAAAGCTGACCCGCAAAGCTGAATAGTAACTACATAGCCACAGTTGGGCATATTTTGGACAGCCTGTAATTATTTCACCAGAGGTTAAATGGAAAAGTTTTCCTCCCTCTGAAACATTATTGCGCTTTCAAAACAGAGGTGGGAAAGTGCAAGCTCTCTGTTTCCTCGTTCTCTGTCACTTAATGTCTGAGTCTTTGCCTGCCTGCGGTGTGTGTTGCTTGAAGAGGTGCATGACTTTGCATATGTTTGACAGCTTGCAGAGCAGCCCAGTGCGTCGCGGCTGTCGCTAATTTACATTTTGTCTGGATCTAAAGAGTAACAGGGCCTTACTGACAAGTGTAGCATGGCCACACAGCCATAAACACATACAAACTTCGCCACACATGGTTACACTGTTAATCAGTTTTGTCTGCTGCAATGTTCCTAATGGAAAAGCATTCGGCGTCGTTCTTTGTCATTGTTTCTCAGCTTCTTACTCGAAGTAATCGGGTCCAACATGCTCACAGAAAGTTAAGTCTGCATAGTTTTCGTTCTTTTGTGTGACAGATTTCTACACATTGGTTTTTGTCCTAGCTCTTCTCCAGGACTTGGAAAAAATCAATTTCACATATTTCCATGCACCAGCACAGTTGCTAAGAGGGAGGGCCCACTGGAAGGGTTTAACCAGAAGGGTGTCTTGAAATTCCCATTTCAAGTTTATCTTTATATGATATGCTCACTCTTACTTAACATTGAAAACGTGGGACTCTCTCGCAAGATGTAACGACCCCACAGATCGCTGTTATGGCCACTAGTTTTAATTATTTTAACTTTGTTTTCGAGAGTCAGTTTGGCATGGCAGATCAGCTCTAAATACTTCAGTACCCATGAGCCTTGGCTGCTGTTGCTATGGAGAAGAAGCCAGTCAGGGGTGGGAATCAGAACGGCAGCCATTTGAAAACACTTTGTAATTGAACTTGTGAACAAAACACGATGCCATAGCTGTTGAATTAATCTAAAATTGACCCAAAATTCAGAGATTAATTTAGTTAAGCTGCAGAGTGTATTGTCAATTGTCTCAACACCATAATCTTTAGCCTCCGCCCGCCATTAGTGGCACATTTAACAGTATTTAAGCTCGGTAATTGGATATTTCTTACTGAATTGCACCATGGGAGAGTAGCTTTGTGAACTCCCCGGCCCAAAAGTATCTATGTAAAAAAGGCTTGTACCTTGTCAAAGATATTTTCTAATGCAGTTGTACTTTTTTTTTTTTTTTTTTGTACTGACGGGTTAGTAGAGTTTCATGCTGATCCAAGCTGCAGCGGTGCTACAATCCAGAGAAACATTGTCTATGGGAAAGATGAGTGGGGCTTTTAATTACAGAACCAGGGATGCCTGAAATAGCTCATCCGACTTCACGGCTCTATCAAGAGCTTAGTGACATTAGAATCAAAGCAGACAGTCGTGGGGTTGTTTGCTTGTTGCCAGGCCACTGTCAATCAAATCTGATCAAACCACACCCCCACAGTCCCTATCACAACTGAAGCGTCATGAGATAAAACTGAAAGTAACATTCATTAGAAAAACTAATAGACTAAAGGGAAATGAAACGATGATGCCTTCAAGTTATGAGTTATAACAAAAAATGAGTGCTCCAACATATAACCCCAGTCCTGCTGTAGTTACATAGACACACACATGCAGGCACACACACTTCTTCCCATCTGTCTGTAACCATAACTCCTATTTACCAAAAGCTTCTTTCATTAACTAGCCTATATGTCTTCTTTTTCTACTCCCCTTCCCACTTCCTCGACCTTGGACCCTGTAGATTCGGATTAACAGGGAAGTAAGTACTTCACTGCTCGTTCTTCTGCCTGCCATCGCTCTGTTTTTGCTCTTTTCCCCCCTCTTCTCTTCCCACTTCCCTCTGCTCTTTACACTCTCCTCTATCCACAAATGCTCAAAGGTCAGTGTGTTTCAGGTTTGTGCACATTTGAGGACCCTGCTGTCTTTGTTAGTTCTGAGAAGTGGCCAAGACTCAAGAAGTTTTTAGTTGCTATGCTGACCGTCTCAAGTGGAAGAGTGGTAGCATTCATGCTGATAGTTTTTGGTTAGGGCCAGAGGAATTGTGGATAGTAGGCCTCACAGCACTGGTCATCCATCTCCATTTCAAACATGTCCTCGTTTATCTGACTGGATGCAATTAAGTTTAGCAATCCCGCAACGTGAACGTACTCGGCATATTAGGAAGATGCCCTCTGCAAAAAGATAAAAACTGTTATCAATGTGGATTGCCCCATCTCACGCTGATTTGATGAGAGCCGATGGGCTTGGGAGTTTATTCAGATTATTCCTAACCTGCCTTCTCCACTCCACAGAGTCATGCAAGGTAATTGGGGCATCAATTATCCTTCCAGCTGCTCCTATCAAAATGACAACACTCAGTGAACCACAACATCCATGTGGCTTTCTAGGAGAGGAGGTTTTCATAGACTCTCAGGATCAGGTGTCTCACTTACCTCAGGAGGTGATATAAGCAGTACTTGTTTTCAGAAGGACTTCCGTTGAACAGTTTGCTCGTCCTTAAAGTCCCTCAGGTGGTCTTTGTAGTGCTTATTTCCCTCAAGGCTGTAGAGGTGACATCTCATTGTTCATTCATTATCACCCCATACTCACTGTATGAAAACGTCTGTCATCTATATCAAAGGCTGCCACACCCTTTGATAAAAAGGATCTCAGAATACTTCACTGTACATACAAGAGTTTGCTCTAGTAGACTGTTTATGTTGGTGATGATATCATGCATTCATGTGAAACCTGTGTATGATTCTTCCACTTGACAAGAATGGAATAATTCAAGGAGTTTTTTGTTTTGTTTTTTTAATGGAAAAAAATGTGGTTTCACTTTAATTCATCTCCTCAGATATAGTAGATATTGCTTCTCCAATGAAAATTGATTTGTTTTTATGGGACAGCACTCTGAGCGAGAGCTTGATAAATAAATCGGACACCTGAAATTGAAGAGCGTGCGCCTTTAGTTTCTTTATCATATCTTTATTAACCTGTCAAACAGATTCAGTCATTGTTCAGTCAGCTCGCCCGGCTCACTTCAGAAATGACTTTTTTTTCCCCCGAGATTCATCAGCAGTTTGTCAGGATACAGTATTTACCGTGTGTTGCCTCAACTGCTCCAAACTCTCTGTGGAGTCTCTGAGGGCGAAGACATGGTCTGGAGTCAGCCATAGGTCAGACAGTGCATGAAAATTACACAGGAAATGTTATTCACAGTTGCAGAGATTGGGTCAGTAGAAGAGAAGAATGCAAAGTGGAAGGGGAATTTAAAAAAAAAAAAAAAAGGGGTGAGACAGAGAGACACCCTCCCATACAGCTGTGCCTGAGGCGCAGATGGCTTACTCAGCATGTCATCCCTCTTCTCTCTTTCAGGGCTACCATCGATCCAACCACTTCATCGCCACTCAGGGTGAGTATCCCAGCAAGGCTATAGTATGTGTTTGTGTGTTTGTGTGTTTGTGTGTGTGTGTGTGTGTGTGTGTGTGTGTGTGTGTGTGTGTGTAGACTCAGGATGGTGAGGATGGTGTAATAAATTGAAGATGATCCAGCCAGTGAGCCTACTCATGCACAGTCCCTTGCCAAAACCATCCCTCTGGCAAATCCAAAGGTGATGGTGTGACTACCAATCCATGAAGGCTGTGTTAGTGATGTCACTGAATGAATCATGAGAAGAGGCGAATGATTAAACACGCTGATTATACCTTCTCAATCTCTCTGACGTGTGGAGCGGTGTGTTCATCGTCAGAGAGAGAACCTGTAGTTCACCCACTGACGCTCAAATACAAAGCTGCTTCTGATGGACAGTTGGAGTCTGTGTGTGTGTGTGTGTGTGTGTGTGTGTGTGTGTGTGTGTGTGTGTGTGTGAGAGAGTGTTTAAAATTTCCCTCTGTTGTTTCTATACCCTAAGGACTTTCATTTTCTAGGGAGCCCCCATCACAAAGTCACTCAAGGTCTGCTCATCTGCTTATCTTGCACCAGCACCCCCTCGTCCCCCTGTTAGAGAGAGAGACAGTGGCAGATGAAACCTGCCAAGAAACAAAAAAAAAGACGTCAGCAGTGTTTTTGTCTATCTGAGCATTTATTTCCTACGTGATCCTCCTTTTAAAGTTGTGCCTCGCTTCGTAAACGTGTCCTCCTTCAGATGGCAATGAGTGACTGATGGTCCTGTGAGCTTTCATCATAAGCTGCTGCTGTTGTTTTGTCACCCATCGCCCCTTCCCTTCTGCCTGGAGTTCCCAATAACTCTATTGACAGCACAATCTTGAGAGATCAGTACCCTGTCGTCTGAGGAAGGACACTTAGGTCACAATAATACGAGATTTCACAGCAGCAAGAACTCCCTTATTGAGAGGACAAGCTTTGATGCTGCCATTTTATGTCTCTTTCTGTTACCCCCCCCCTCCCCTCTTTCCACTAGGACCCAAGCAGGAGACTCTGTATGATTTTTGGAGGATGGTATGGCAGGAAAATTGCTTCAGCATTGTCATGATCACTAAGCTAGTGGAGGTTGGCAGGGTAAGTGATGTGTACCCCCCCACCACCACCACCCAGTGCTCAGAAACACCCCGCATTTGCCATATGGAAACATTTTGGTGTCTATTTGAAAGGCTTTTATGCATTTCATGAACATATTTCTCACAGGACCTTGGTTTCCAGTTTTGATGCTAAACTAAGCTAACCAGCTGCCCGTTGTAGCTTCATATTTAGTGCACAGACATGAGACTGCTAACAACATTATTCTTTCAACTTTCAGTACCACATTCATTTTGTGGCATGTGAATATCAGGAATCATCAAAAGCACGTGTTAAGCAAGTCTTTGTGCTTTATTTTTTAATTTTTCATTAAACATATGCTTTTTAAAGTATGGTATTGTTGCATGGATTATCCCTTGTTTGTCCATCATCATGAAACGGCGACAGTGTGTTATGGAAATCTGCGTCATAATGGTACCATCATAGAGTCCATAAAATGTGCTATAAAATACTTGTGGCACATATAAACATATTCTGAGCCACATATCTAGGTATGCCGTCCTTATATACACTGCATGACTACACAGCTTTAATGGCTATGCTGTAGCAGAGCCATTATTTTCCAGCTCACATAAGTACCTGAAGCATATGAATTCTGCTCTAAGTACTCCATCCTTTTCAGCCTCTACAGGAGAAACATATTACCTCAGTGGATGGTTAAAATGACACCATTTTTCTAGCAGTAGCCCTACATCCAATTTGGTTCTCCATCCTAACAATTCAGGGAACAGTCAACAAATGAGGACTGGTCTGTGTGGCTGAATCCAAATAAAACCTCTATTAAATAAAAAAATTACCTCCTTTGTGCCTGATGCTGGTGAAAAAAGATTGCTGCCCTACTGTTCATTATGCTTCCCGCCATTATGTGATTATTGTGTTTTTCTTTTCTTTGCCCTCTGAGATGAAATATCTGCAGAGGAGCAGGTTGTTTTTGTTCTTCTGCCACATTTGAGGTGTAACTGTTGTAGGTTTTCAACTTATTAAATTTTACATCAATATTTTTCTGTTCTGGTTAAAGTTACAAATTAAGTCCTTAAATTTTTTTTTTTTTTATCATCATCACTTTATTATAAATTATAATGATGCAGGTAATCTTTTATCTCTTTTGCTGTTGAATAAATTGTTAAAACTGATCTTGTGAGATGAAATGACAATATCTAACAATGCATTTGCTCTGGCTATAATGCTTAAATTTCAAATACAGTGCAATACAAAAGTACTTCCATACAAATCCAAAACTGCTCCAAGGAATGATGCGAAGTTGACACTAATGGTGCTTTTCACACCTGTAATTTGGTTCATTTGCTCCAGACCAAGGGGGGAAAAAAAGATAATTAGTTGTGTCTCAACTCAGGGGCTGCTTCCTTCGAAGGATGTGTTCGAAGGCCAATTGCATCACAGCGCCTCAATAGGGCTGTCCCATTTCCAGGGCTCCTTCAAATGCGGACGAGAAATGCATCCTTCGTTTCCCGGGCAAAGAAGGATCCACATGGGGGATCCTCCGTAGCCAAACCCATCCCGAGATTCTTTAAACACCGGTGATGACTCACCATCATGGAGAGAGGATATAGACTCTGCAAATAAAACAGTGGCCAAGGATAAATGGGAAATCTTCCATAGGCTAGACCATCTCATTTTCAATTTGGCCCTCGCAGTTGCCAATGGCTACAAAAGCCACGCCTTCGTAGACCCTGTCCTTCAAAATATGCAGCCCTCATGAGACACAGCGATCATTTCATAGAATTGATGGTAAAGTTAATTACCTAAATTGACATAGTCAACAGAAAAACAGCGACCTAAAACACCTCACCAGCATTGTTTAATAGCGGGGAATGGACTTGCAGCACATTCTGTTGAAGTACTTAATCTTGTCTATTCCTATATATATATATATATATATGAATTTATAACATACCTCTGTCAACAAGAGGGGGAGATTTATAGAAATTGCTCCTGAAGACCTGTTATGTTCAATCGTTTTGACCTTTGTAAAGTTGGGGTTATCCTTAGTATCAGAGGATGGAGGAGATTTGAGTATACTGCATTTTGAAAAACAAGGTTGAAACAGTAGAACATTTTCTGGAGACTCAACCTTCACAACACTCTATCAAACAGATTAATTCATGTTACACCTTCTACAGTTTTGCAGGTGCATTTTCAAGGAATGTCGATTTGAGGTTTCACCCTGTTGCTTCACTGTTTTTAAACAGGTGAAATGCTGTAAATACTGGCCTGATGACAGCGAGATGTACGGTGACATTAAAATCACTCTGCTTAAGACAGAGACACTGGCTGAATACACAGTTCGCACCTTTGCCTTGGAGAGGGTGAGTTTAACAAATATTTACATCTGGCTGACCTTCTTTTAAATTTGTTAATGCTCGTTATAATATTCACTAGGCCTAGTGTTTCATGGTAGAAGGCAATATGCAATGCTGTGTTACTGTAAACTGCATATTCTTTCTGTCTCTTTCTGTGATCTATTGATGGACATGAGTTGGCTATGTTTTCTTGTTACCTGGTAAAATAAGAATTAAAATTAGAACTAGTTCATTAATAGAAGGGATTAGATACTTGGCAGGACTTAGTGCTGAAGGGGTTGAGGTGCACATATTAAATTTAGAGGAATTAACACCAGTAGCTCTATGAATACCCCCACCGTCTTTCCAATATAGCTGTTGCAGTGTTGTGCCCCCAATGGCCTCCATCCTGTCAATCTCTCAGGGGATCTCTCTTTGGATTGGCTCAGAGCACCACCGGAATGACAGTGGCACAAACACAGCATTATCATCACACTGTCACAGTCGCTCTCCATGGGCACACACTGCTGCTTATTCAAATCGGCGCAAATTTTGGAGCTGGTGACAGCTTGTTTTTCCATAGCTCTTTTCCTTTCTTTTTTTGGATTTCTGTCTTCAACAAATCTTTGCTTTGCGTGGCTTTACTTTGTCATCTCTGTACAGAGGAAGAAATTGCTGTGTGACTGCACCAGCCTCCCAACAGAGAGGAGAAACCTCCCAGCCCTCCCTGAGCTCCGAGAGCCTCAGTAATTCCTTTCTGCGTGTCTGTCACACTGTAGCTGCTACTAGCATGTGATGCCCAGAGGCCTAACTGTCCTAGAAGACCTAACACCCCACATAAATAATGTCCCGGTTGTCCTCACATTGAACCGAAAAATCTGCCACATCTCTCGTGGAGGCGGGTAGGTGTGAGAGGGTGGGGGTTTTCCTGTGAATGGATGTGAGCGAGTCTTGGATGAAATAACGGCCGGTAGGCTACTATGGTTAGGATGCAATCCATATAAATGTAATGCTTTACATGTAATGCTAATATGTACTGTGTTTGTGTTGACAGAGAGGATACTCAACCAAGCACGAGGTGCGTCAGTTCCACTTCACATCCTGGCCCGAGCACGGTGTGCCCTATCACGCAACTGGACTGCTGTCCTTTATACGAAGAGTGAAAGCTTCTACACCTCCCGATGCTGGCCCTGTGGTGGTCCACTGCAGGTAATGTGATGCTTAGCAACTGCTGTGACCTGTAGTGTTATAAAAACATCTGTTATTGCAATTCCCTTAAGAGTATGATAAATATGTATTATATTAGTAATAAATAATAACCTGTTGGTCACTCTGACATGTGAAGTGAAGTGACTGAAGGGGATAGCTGTTAGCACCAGTAGTTTACTTTTTGTTAGCCTGCTAAATAAAGACAAAATACGACATTGTGCCTTTAATGCTAACCTAACTTCTATTTAATTCAATTTTGTAAAACACATGCCCCTGCAAATTCAAAGGCTTCCATTGACACCTAACAAACTGGCAGTAAGCACAGTGTAGCCTAGCTTCCCCCATTGGCTGCTAGCGCTAGTGCTAGCTTCATGTAGTGCTAATAATTTGTGCTCCTGAGTAGACACACTTTATTCTCAAAACCATATCAGAAACTTGAAATAGTGATTGTAAAATTATGCATTATTCCTCATGAAAGATGTTCTTTTTTTCCAGTGTGGGGGCGGGCCGCACTGGCTGCTACATCGTGCTGGATGTCATGTTGGACATGGCCGAATGTGAAGGCGTGGTGGATATCTACAACTGTGTGAAAACCCTCTGCTCACGACGCATCAACATGATCCAGACAGAGGTCAGGTTAATTGCGCTGCCAGGAAACCACTTCACATTCAAACAAAGTCTAATCTCTCAAATTTTTCTTGCATATATATTCAGGAGGTTACATCAGTGGACATAATAGCATAACCTCTGTCCTCTACTGGAGAATCTCTGAAGAGTCAGGTTTTAAAGCATTTGTTTTTCCCTCCTGTTGTTTGGAAATTCAAAGAGCAAGGGGGGTGTATTTTCATACTTCCCCTCTGGGACTTATGTAAAGGTCATTGCAATAGTTTAAAAGAAAAGACTCACATTGTCTCTCAGTGTGCTTCGTAGGCACGGACGTTGTTAGATGTGTAGATAATTTGCATATTCACCCCTTATTATGTAAATCCAACACTTAGCTGTTTATTACATTTGTAGCAGGGGTGCTCTAATTAAATGCACACTGCATGTGTTTGTTTACTAAGAATATATTTATTTATTCCCCAACAGCTTTGATACACTACCAACATTATGGCACATGTTTAATTCAGAACAAGGCAGGTTATGAAAAATCTCTGCTGTTCTTCATATTGTTTGATTATTTATTTACATCTACATATGTTCATAACAGTTCCTCAAAGAGTGGTTTATAATCTTCTTCTGTCTTAACCTGCCTCCTTTGTTTAGCTGTTTGCAACCATATAATACTATAACGTGTTACCACTAGAGTACATATGCATGCCCACACATGTGCAAAAACACAGCAGTTAATCACGTAACCTGTTGTCCCTTCAGGAGCAGTATATCTTTATCCACGATGCCATTCTGGAGGCCTGTCTGTGCGGAGAGACGGCCATCCTGGTGAATGAGTTCGCCGTCACCTACAAAGAGATGCTGCGAGTGGATTCCCAGAGTAATTCCTCTCAGCTACGGGAAGAGTTCCAGGTCAGTGTTGTGCTGGACAGTGGAACAGCAGGACCTTGATCAATTTTTAAGCACAGTTTCATTTTTGTTGAAATGTGCAGCCATTAAAATATGAAACATGCAAACTCATATTCTTAATTGCACAGCCCACACACAGTAATTTGCATTCATAATGCAGTTTATTTAATATCATCAACAAAACTTTAATTACCTTAATGGAACCTAATAACCTGTAGCACTTCAGCTGCTACAGTAAAACGTCAGTGACAACAATAATGCTACTACTTCTACAAGTATTAGATGTACTGAAGTGCTACTACTAATGCTAGCACAGTACTACTAACATCAGATATTCAACTCTTTGTGCATGTAAAACACTATTTCTGCTATTGTTAAATTTACTACTTCTTCTACTAATAATAAGAAGTAATATTAATGGATGTTGAGGTTTGAAATCTGATGGCTTGAATATAAAAGTTATAGGTGATACAGTCACACCTTGAGCCAACCATACCTGTGTACAATTTGGGGGGTATGATATTGTATATTGTATTGTATTGCTGTATGTACTGGATGTATTGCATATATTATTCTGTCTTGTGCTTTATGCTGTAGTCGCTCAGTCAAGTTAAAACAGTCTGTTTGGTATTCATACAGTCACATAAACAGACGACGACTACATCTGCTCTGTTGTGGAAATATTCTTTATAGCACAGACATTTTGAAATTAACAGTGTGCAGAAAGGAATAGCATAATGGATAGCAATGGATACACATCCATTTCTGTGTGTGTGTGTGTGTGTGTGTGTGTGTGTGTGTGTGTATTTGTGCAGGATGATGTTAGTTTCCTTTTTTTGATTCTGTGTCATTGAAATCCTGCCTGGTTTGTAGGAATGCGGCCTCAGAACATTTTATTAGATGTTGATTAGGAGAGAAGAGAGCCAGCTGTGTTCCCACATGCTTTACCTGCCTTATCCACCTCCCTCTGCTGCAGCGCACAGCCAGCAGCCGCATTGATTTCAGGTTTAGCATTTCAAAGTAATACGGGAAAAAGCTCATGCTCCCCTGTTAATTTTACACTGTTTTATCCTTGTATACTACATAGGAATTGCAATCGATGTATTGCTTTGGATTAGGGAATGGTACAGTAGGTGGGGAGGTGACACAAACTTAGTTTTTCATAAAAGGAAAATGTTACATGCTTCTCTTTGATCTTGTGAACTTATCCATCTGACATTGTTGTTGAAAGCCTCTCTACTGCCCAATGAGCTCTGTGTTTGCTTTTTACTCTGTCATCCAGCAGACAGCAAACAGCAAACTGGTAGTACTGAGATCAGCAAGTCACAGATCTATTATTGATGTGGTGTATTAATGATCCAAATATTTTTTCAAGTTGTCTAATGTAATTACAGCTAAATGAACAGAGAGTTCATCAAAGAAAATCGGTATGCAATATTTCCTTTTGAGTGTTTTTTTTAACTTCATTACATTCCCTTTTATTATGCAGTTGGCCTAATTTATGCGTTATTCTTTTAAATTAGTTTGTCAGCATTATTTTCTGAGTATTAAAGATTCTTTCAATTAACATTATTGGATTCTTGGCATCCTCTCCATTCCCAGTCTTCTCTGCTCTTGTCTGATTCACTTCTTTTTCTTCCTTCTCCTCCTCTCTAACATCTTTAACTCCTCTGCTGAGTCTCACCACTCCTCACGCCTCCCATCTTCTAAACGCTCCCTTCAATGTCATGTCGTCTTCCCCTCACTCTCATCTCACCTCTTTAACATTTCCATTTGCAGACACTCAACTCTGTTACTCCCCACTTGGATGTGGAAGAGTGCAGCATTGCTCTGTTGCCCAGAAACCGAGAGAAGAACCGCAGCATGGATGTTCTGCCGCCTGATCGCGCCCTGGCCTTTCTGGTTACAACAGAAGGGGAAAGCAACAATTACATCAACGCTGCTCTCGCCGACAGCTTCCATCGACAGGCCGCTTTCATCGTGACCCCTCACCCTCTGCCCGGCACCACGGCGGACTTTTGGAGGCTGGTCTTTGACTACGGTTGCACAGCTGTGGTCATGCTCAACCAACTCAACCAGTCAAACTCTGCCTGGGTAAGGTCGAGTGTTATATACTATTTTATTGCCATTGATTTGTTGACCCTATAAGGAAAAAGAGACTTTACAAAATGTTTGAGTTCACTCACACAGGAGTCGCTGTTTGCTGTACAAGTTTTCACTCACAGTGTTGAGGTTATCTAAACTTTACTTGAGACTTTCTTGACATACCCTCCCCTCACTGTTTCTGTATCTTACATTGCTTGGGATTAGTTCCTTCATGCCATTTTGTTGGGCTTTGATCCCTGACCACATTGATCTCAAGGCATGACTAGATAACACCCGCCCCAGTTTTTCCTTCCCCTCCTCAACTTACATCTCTGGAGAATAGGCTTGCCTTACCCTCCAGCCACATCTCAGGGTTCTTTTTGTTGGCGTCCCACTTTTTCTCATGAGCATATGTCTTTCTCTGTGCTGCAATATTCCCTGTTAACACGTTTAATAATAGCAGTAATAATGAGCGAGACATAACACTAGATATAAGTTCAAGAGTGAAAACACAATGAAACAGTAAAAGCAAATGATTAAAAGAATGTCATAAATACATTTTTAAGAGGAAATTTTAAAGCATATGATATCTTGAGCTTCTATGGGAAGCTAATTCAAGCTGGAGCTGGTAAATGAGGATTTAAGGGCTCTACCAGATAATCAGGTGCCATACTGAAAAAGGATTTAAAAGTAAGCAATAGATCTTCAAGTCTGTTCTAGAATGTATAGACACTGAAATATAATAATATCTCTTTTGAACACATTGAGCTATCCTATAATTTTCTGATTAAGACAGAAGAATGGATTATTACAATAATCAAGCACGGTTGGAATGGAAGTGTGTAAAATAGTCTGAGTGTCATTAAAAGAAAGGAAAGAATTCTCCAGATATTTCTCAGGTGAGAAAAACAGAACTTAAATAGCCTACAGTAGTAATACGGGAATCCAGACTAAGACTGATCGAATATTTTAGCACATTCTTAAAGAGCCAAGAGCTGTCACAACTTGACTACAGATGTGTTGAACCAATAATTAAGATTTCCATTTTGTTGGAGTTAAGATGAACAAGCTTGGCAGCTATCCAGCCCTCAATGGCAGATAAACAGTTGTGCAGAAATGACAATGTTGCTGAATAATTCAATAATGTTGGGACAGGTGCAACTGGGTATCATTGCAGCAGTAATCGAAATGCTGTCGAACAAGATAGCCTGTGGAGAGCATGGAAAGAAAAACTAACATTGGACCCTAAATGGATCCTTGTGGGACACCACACAGGTGATATGATATGTATATATACATATGTTGTGTCAAAGATCAGGAATAGGAGCACAGAGCATTAGCTAACATCAGCCTTCATCAATATATCATCTTACAAGGACAATTTGCAGTATTTATGTATAATCTCATATTACCTTGTATTTACACCTGTATAATTAATATGTCTATGAATAACAGGTGAATCACAGAAATCACTCGTAAAATGCCAAAGACGTTGAAGATAATAACTTATACAGAATCTAGATTTGGGTTCTTAGGCATAAAAGCAACATTTACAAGCTTTGTGAAGTCAAACTTTAGATATTGACCATGTGAAATATGTAATACATTGTATCACATCCTAGGAAACGAAGAGCTTACTCTAAATTATGAATCTTTTTTTTTTTTGTCCAAGGTCTAACTTAGATTGTTGTATAATCAGTCTTTTCTCAGTTTCTTGGCCAATGCTCCTCTGGTGTAGATATAATTACATATCGACTGTAACTAGTAGCAGTGACAGTGCTTCTAGTGGGTCTAAAGGGTCCATTGTGTAGTCTTTAAAGTTGTCCGTAAAGATGACATTTTGTAAGAAAGGAAGTGTTTAAACTAAAACTTTAAACTAACTAAATCACAGACAGATATATAGTTATTTGTGCATTGTGAAGAAACTGTGAGGCATCAGTGGTAAAGAGAACAGAATAGACCTGGATTTGGTCCTTGCAATTCACTGCATATACAGTATATATATAATTCTAAATAGAGATAGAACCAGTGAGGGGTTGTTCAAACAATCCCCACTTATTATACTTTATAAGTCTAAATAGGATTAGGTATTCTTGTCTATGGCTCATTCATCACTGTTCGTTGGATTTAAGAAATTTGCTTAAAGCATATAAACAGTAGAGCAATGCTGATGATTTTCACAGTAATTAATTGCTACTTAGTACTCATGATACCAGTATTCTACCAAAAGATATTTGTCAAAATCAGTAAACCACTAACATGACCTTGAAGATCCTTTAGAGGCTTTCATGTGCTCATTAAATGTGTAAAGTTGGTGCTTCTGTAATGGCTTTTCTGCATGCTGTTTTGAAACACCCTATATAGTCTTTTAACAAAACATAAAAAAAGAAACAAAATTTGAGGTACCCCCTGTTGAATCCCACTTTCCATCCACTGCCTTAAAATGTTTTTCATTTTGTTTCTTCGAGTGCAATTCAGTCCTTTTTGGGTCTCTCGCCTGAAAATTGAGTTATAGCCACCTTAAGTTGTTCATTGCAAGATCTTGTTAAGAACTTTGTTATAGAGTTCGTTTGTAGCACTGGAGCACTCTGTCTCCCTCTTGTTGCAGTGTCTCAAAGCACATTACGTCTCTCCTTCCCCATGTTGCTTTTCTCCCTTTACAAACTAACACCACTGTGGTTATTGTTGTTATTATACTTGTGCATCTGTCTAGCTCCTTAGCTATATCCTCTTCCTTGTATTGACACTGCATGCATAGAGACCCCCCCACTGCTTATACACACGCACCCTAACACACACTTACTTGCTTAATTTCATCATTTGATTTTCTTAAATCTCTCTAATCTTTGCTGATCAAAAGTTTTAAGAGCAAAAGCAACTACTGAAGATTGCATTAGTTCAAGTAGTGTGCGTGCGCATATTTCATCACTGACAAAACAATCTCCCCTCTACCTGCAGCCGTGTGTTCAGTACTGGCCGGAGCCTGGTTTACAGCAGTATGGGCCAATGGAAGTGGAGTTTCTGTCCATGTCAGCAGATGAGGATGTCATTACTCGTCTGTTTCGGGTCAAGAACGTCACAAGGGTGAGTCATTGTGGTGCCAAAAAAACCCTGCACGTAACATGTTTTCCCCTCAGTGGTATTTCACAAATGATAACTTGAACCTCATTAGAAATGCATTAAGTGTGGTCCTTACTGGTAATTCAGGTGTGACATTTTACCTAAAGTACATTTAGAGCTGCCACTTGTAATGTGCATCTAAAAAGCTGACACAAGTCCTCAAAGTCACAGTACTACAGGCTTGGCTGTAAAAATACTGTGTACCTGAGACCTTCAGATGATGATCCGTATTTCTATACAGCTTCATGTATGTGTGCAAACTCAAAGGCTGCATGCTGCACTTGATTCTGGATGTGTGCCTCTGCATTGTTATCTGTCTGTCTTGCTTTCTTATGCATACATAACATGACGTCTCTGTTGTAAGCCTCATGGGATGCAGGAGGTTGTCAAATAAATACACTCTAAAATATAATCTGGAGATTTGTAATGAAAACAATGGCAGATCAGTAAAAACCTTATTCATAGACTGTGTTATGCATACTACAAAGGACAATGTTTTGATATTCAGCAATCCAGAAAATTGAACCAGAGCCACCAGTGTTTCCATAAGATGTTCCCATAAGAGCGATACATATAATAAGAACTTTCTTTCTATGTAAAATGCAAGAGAAGCCCATTGACATGCATGCAATAAAGGTCAGTCTCTCCCTTTTTCAATTTCTTCTTGTCATTACCTAGATAGGCGTCTTCCCTATCTTAGGTGCCAGTTAGCATACCAATGAGGGGATTTTCATCATCATAATGCATGTCATATTTTCAGTTGCAAGATACAGTTTTCAGGTGGCAAAGCAGACTTCCTTTTGATTTGTTCATAAAGCATGTCACACTTGAAAAAGTAGAAAATTAGGCAGAACTCATGAAATGGGCAAAAAAGAAAAAAAAGGCACTGAGTGTTCTGTCATGCTAGAAGGAGCAGAGGCGATGTCAGAGTATATATAGAAAAAATATGTATATTGTTTCCAAGTGTATGTGTATATGCATGAATCAGTCATTTTGATTTCACACACATCACACATTGTGTTGATTTTGTGTGTGTATGCAGGTATGATTTTATGCCGGGAATTTGCATAAGCACATGCAAGTATTCTGCTCAGGATCACTGTCAACCAATTATTGAAGAAATCTGTATGCAAGGCATTTATTGCAAGGCTGCCATTATAAGCAGCGCGACAGGCAGTGCCCAGAACTTCCTTTCTTGATTGGCATCCTCACCTCCTCTGTCGACTGCCCTTGTCATTCCCCTTTCTACCTATGGCACGTTTTTTTTCTATTCAGTGCACAGCACTGTCAAGGAGAGGGCAACTTACTACACCATGGGAGGAATAAAATCACACAGAAATAACACACACCTCTCCTCCTGTGTGTGCCCCTCTCTCAGTGAATTAGTATGTCTTTTTCCTATGTGTGACAATGATATACAAGGGGAGGGAGTAAAAGTCAAAGGAAGTGCATCGTAAGCATATGTGTGTGTGGCTGGGAAAGTAGTACAAAAAAAAAAGCACATTGTGTAAATCCCACCTCCACTGAGGCTATTCCTTCATACATCGTTGGTGTCTTCGCCAGCTCAATTTGCATGACTTACAGTTCTCCACTGGTCCCTGAGTATTAGGTTAGATTGTACAGGACAAGGTTATGAACACACAGGGACCTCGCTCACACACAGCTTGGGCCTCACTTACACCTGCAGACCCATATATCTCAAAGTCAGTCTGCTGAGTGAGCACAGCTGAGAGTGTCAGTGCGCAGCCAGGGGAGCACTCAAACAGGGGTGTTAACTGGCACACGTAGAAATACTAAAACAAACAGAAAGTGTAATACACAGACACACACGACAGCACATGCATGCACACCCACACAGTACAGTACACACAGATTCCATGTGTTTTCTGTTTTCTGTTGCATCTGAAGCTCCAAGAGGGCCAGCTGGTAGTGTGTCAGTTCCAGTTCCTGCGCTGGTCGGCGTATCGAGATGTTCCCGACTCCAAGAAGGCTTTCCTAAACCTGCTTGCTCAAGTGCACAAGTGGCAAAGAGAGTGTGGAGAAGGACGCACTGCTGTCCACTGCCTGTGAGTAATCTCTTAGCAACATGCATCATGTACTGGAAATTAAAACACAAAGCAGAAATGAATTCAATCTCTGTCTGAAAGCCTCTGAGACTGTGAAATAGTGCTGTTGAAGATTGACATTTAAAAGTGCATTCAAAACCTAAAGCTTACTCTCCGAGGGGAGCATCACAGAAATGTCCGTTAAAACATGGTAAATCATGTGCACATCTGTTTGATGATGAGAGACAGAGACAGAGACTGTGTCGTGTCTCGTCTCGTCTCCGTAGTGTTTTGTGTGGTTTGGTGCAATGAGATGTAATGCAAAGTATTTTTCCATCACAGTACTTTGTAATGTAGAAAATCAAATTGTGGTGTAATGTGCTTTACTGTGGTGTAGTGCAGTGTGTGGTGTTGTGTGCTCCTCTGTTGTCCTAAGCCCCTGGAGCGCACACCCGCTGATGAATATGAATGGGCCGTCCAGCTCATTGCCAACCCGTCACACGTTCATCCCCACCGCCCCCATCCAAAAGCACATCAGTCAGCGCTGTCACACAGTGTTACCCACGACAACCAGGGAAGAGATTATGGAGATCAAATCAATTATGGCTTAATACAGAATGCGATGGTTCTCACTACAGTAAATCCAGGACTGCCAAAGCACTGACGACGATTGATTACCTTAATATTGCTTGTATGCGCTGCAGAGGCTTCTATGCCCACCTTTGCAGCGTTTGTCTCAGGAGAGAGGAAGTGGATTGTCCTCCAGTAGTTTATTGATATTGCCTTTCATTTATGATGACCATGACAATATTTCCGAGGAAATGTCACTGTACTGTTATTTCTCAATTTTCTCTTCCTTACAGCTTTTCTCATGTAGCTATTTTTATATCACGATATTGTGATCAAAAACAGGGTTATCAGATTACGCATATTCTGGCCTGCTTATACTTTATTATAGTCTTCCAGAACCCACTTAAACAAACTAGATGGTCCATTCCCCCTGGAGAGCGAGATATATTTGTATATAATGCAATTGTATATCCTATACATATACAGTGCATGCAACATTATAGGATTTCAGCCAATGAAAACTGGATCTGGGTTGCATCACACTGACAGTAAAGATCCAAACCTAAACTGCATCCACTGGAAGGCTGCTGGTGTGGCTGGCAACTCTTAAGATAATTAATTTATTGTGTAATTTGTGCACTTTGAAATGATGTTTGGTTTGAATGTGCTATATTAATAAGCTGCACTCCGCACATCAGACTTCGACCTTAATCCTAACATCAGCATGCTAACATGCTCACTATGACTACGCTAATATGCTTATGTTAATCAGGTATAATGTTTACTATGTTACCTTTCTTAGTGTAGAATGTTAGCATGCTAACATTTACTAATAACTCAAAGTTCATCTGAGGGGAATGTCATAAATGTTGACAGTATTTGGTCAAGTATAGAATGAAAACATTTTGGCTTAATGATGCTGCTAGCATGGCTAAAAACTGACTTCCTGGATCCTCGTATTCCACCTAAATTAAATTAACCATTAACCAACATGAATATCTGTACAAAATTCTATTGCAATCAATGGAATAGGTGTTGAGATATTTCAGTCTGGACTTAAGTGGTGGACCAACAGACAGACCGACATTGCCATCCCTAGCATTGCTAGGCTTTTAAATCAACATGAAAAGAGAGAAAATCATAAATGAAATTAAAAAAAGATAAGGCATCTGTTTACGATGTTTTCTTAAACGACACTTCTTCTCTGCAGTAATGGCGGTGGTCGCAGTGGGACCTTCTGTGCCTGCAACATTCTCCTTGAGATGATCCAGTACCAGAACATGGTGGACATCTTCTATGCTGTCAAAACTCTACGCAACTGTAAACCCAACATGGTGGAGTCCCTGGTAAGAGAGTCTGTAAATAAATATGCAGGAAGGATATTTTTGTGATTATCCTAATGTTTTCACTTGTTAATTAAACAATATTGCATGTCTCCTCAGGATCAGTATCGATTCTGCTATGACCTTGTCCTGGAGTACTTGGACTGCTTTGAGGGGAGATAGCAACTAAATGTTTACCACAGCGGCGATATCCCTCACACTGGAGATTCGATTTAAGGCCACCCAGTGACCCCTCTACTTTATTGTTCGGACCTGTGAACTTGGCATTGAAAGAACTGCAAAGGAAGGAGAGGGAAAAAAAACCTGGTCAAGGTTCTAACTTTTAACCTTTAATGTACAGCTGTGATTTCCTCCTTGTTGGTGATGTTTATCTTTTTTGATATTTTTTGTGCTTTTCTTGGTCCTCTTTGCCTCTTGGACTAAAGCTCCTTTTGTGCTAAGGGTTTCAGTAGCAGCAAAACCATATTGTGAGCTACAAAATGGACCTGTCTATTCTGAAGAAGGGTCACCTTGGCTGTGTTTCATCGTTTCATTCAAACAGCGAGGGGGCTGGATGTAATTTCAGAGTTACAGCAGCATTATCTAAACGTGGAAGCATTTTCTTCTCTCTTAAGAGCTACTTACAACAGCAGTCCACTGTGGTTGTGGCATGACTTATCTACCATACCATAAACTGCCTTATTCTCTGATGATAGGACAGATTTATTCAAATCAATGAATAAATCTAAAAGGTTGTCATACTGGTGTACAAACAGCGACAAGAGATTTTAACAAGAGACCTACAGCATTAGGATAGACCAGCCCAGTCCTCAGCAGTATTGATGCAGAAACTGTACAGTAGTGCAATGTGTTGTATTTTGCCATAATGTTTGTGCTGGATTACCATGTGTGCTATAGGTGGACGTTTCCAGGGACCACAGCACTGGGCCTGGTGCCACCACGGGAGATTCCTGTCTCATTGCTGTCACAGTGCCAATCCCACTGACTGACTTGAATCCTCTCTTTACTTTGTTCTACTGCTTCATCTTGATATATGCCTACAAACACACAGTATGTACTGCATCAGCTAATGTTCTCCACTCCAAAGTGATTGTTTGTATTTTATACCCAGCTGGAAAGAAAAAGGAGCAGGGGAAACTGTACTGACATGCCATAGTGGCAGTGGTGGTGTGAAAACTGATTTCATTAATGCTGTGGTGAAGTGTCTAAAACAGTGCTCTGTTACAGGTTTGAGTCTGTTACTGCTTTACTCCTTTGTTGTCTGAGGCATTTGGTTGTACTGTAAACTGTTGAAGCAAACTAAACCAGTTTGAATTTTATCATAACCCTTTCAGGTAGGGGGTTCATTTTGACAATTTTGACATGAACATTAGTTGTTGTTCCTAGTGGTGTAAAATAAATAAATAAATAAATATAAATAAAAAAGGGCATTAACATTGTGTAGAGGGAAAAATATGCTATTTTGCATCACCACTAAAGATATTGGTGTTTTCACATTGGTGTTCTTTTTTATTTTAAGATAATCATTGTATTTTAAAAAGGAAGAATAGGAAAAAGGAAATGTTGCCCACAAACCCTGCTGCTTAGTTATCACAGACCTAATGGACAAACCAAAGCCACTGGTTTTCAACTGCTGGCCAATGCCTGGAGACCACTGGAGCTGTTAATGCCTGAATCAATGAAACATCTTCTGAAAAAACCCCAACACACAGACAGGAAGCAATTTTTCTTTTTTTCTTTTTTTTTTTTTTTAAGATTTTTGTTCCAGAACCAAGGAAATATCTATTCTACACTCCATTAATACCCTTTAAAATATGTTATGCTCTACCATATCTCCTGAAACCCCTTTTAAAGGCAGGTTTTCAAGAGGATAGGTATCACTCTAAGACCTTCCTGAATAAACAAAAGAGAGACACCTTGAAGCCCACAGAAGCAGAGAAATGGCAGCTAGGCAAACTCTGCTGCTAGTTTGCAGCTCACAGTCTGGTTCAGGTGGGAGCACCAGAATATGTGAGGAATCTAACAGTATGCCAACATCACCAAGCTCCCCCAGCTTCACCGATAGGGCAGCTTGTTTTTGATGAGGATGAGGGATGAGGTAGCTACAGTGTAGTCAGTGATCTGACAAGGGATCACTGGCGGAAGTGCCTGGACACTTTTTTCTTGAGGGTGGAAGGAATGTGTACATACAGATGTATATTATGTTATGTGAATATTATATGAATAATATACTATATGTTTGCCCAGAGTAAAGACGTACAGTAAGTAACCACTACATAACCACGAAGCTGAATGTGCTGTAAATGACCATTTTGTGAGTTTATTGCCAGAACTTTTAACACCCGAGTACGAACTCTCCGTGAGTCTCCGTGAGTGTTCATCCCAGCGCTCTGAGTAAAACAGGTCTGTTAAAGCATGTATGAACCCATTGTCTGCTTTGCTTTTCATTTAGTTCATTTCAAGATATCCCCGATCCATATAATTTATTTCAACCGTTGTGTCGTCCAGCAGCCACAACAACTGTGTGAGTGCATTGTACTTTTACCATTCCAAAGCTTTTTATTATGACTGCTCTCTGAGTGCCGGCGACGGAACCCCCGAGAGCACCGTTGATTTCACTTGTGTGTTTCTGTATGAACCAATGGTACATGACTACTGTGTTTTTGACCATTGTATTTGTGGGGGGCGAGGTGTGTATTTAATGAGAGAGACAGAGAAGACAGATGTGTTTTGGGGTCAGGGAGGGGGTTTGTTCTGAAGAATAACAACCATCAACAATAAAAGAACAAGGGGAAAAAGAGATGTGTTGTTGTCAACTTATCATTGGATTGTCTGTCAAAATTGCATACACAGCTGAAAAAAAATAGTGTGGTTTTATGATTGATTTGTCAGCAGAAGCAGAGAACTGACAGCTGGACATAGACTTCCTGTCTATAAGCCTCTGACCCTCCTGCGGTTTCACATACGGATGTGATCTTGTAGCAGTTCGCTTCGCCTTGAACCACATCGACCATTTGATCTCTCCCCTCTTTTTAATCTGTAACCTCATTTCTTTCCCTTTCCCCTTTTCATCATGCCTCTCACCCACCTCTTTTCTGTCTTCCTCCTTCCCACCCTCAACTCCTCTTCCCTTATTTTAATTTCTCCCTCTCATCCTTCTCCATCTCTTTCACTTTGCTGCTCTGCCCAGAGTAAGGTGACTCCAGACCACAGACTTCCTCTCTCACCCACGGCTATGTTGAATAATGCAGCAGTCCTGCAAACTGATCCAGTGTTTAGCAGAGGGACAAGCCAGATTAATTAGAGGACAAGACCCCTTCCTGATGGTTTGAGGACAATGTAGGCCATATGGATTCCCCTTTAGATTTTTTGGAGATTGATTAAGTTTCAAAAACAAACTGTCAGATATGGTAATGGTGTGTTGGTAAACGCAAATGCTCTTTAGATCAGATTTTTCATTTGTCATGTCAGTTAGATGGAGCAAGAATGCATTATAGATTTAATGTGACATAGATAAGGAGCTTTTCCACATAGGCATTCACACTACCCCATTTAATATCTGCAAGGTTTCTCAATTTCCTTTTTCACCTGCCGAAAGCTATTACAACATGAAATTCTTAACGCCGAGCTCCATCATCCTTTACTACTCATATGTGACCCATGGTTTAAATTAGCAGGTAATTGGAATCTTATCATTTAATACTGATGGTGGAATGACTACTATGTGCAAGGTAACTTATCACTAGGCCAAGATCCAATCAGGTTTTGTCTTTTCTCTCTGGGCCACCTGTCTTATATTCCTCCGCTGACAGGCTCGATGGATGTTGGCCTCTCTCACAGTCTCCCTGGTGAGTCTCGCACAGATACACTCTCGTGGTGTTTCTGTAAAACAGCAGTGAGGTCCGACAGCTTGCAGTGCCAGCTGATGTTGGGAAGGAGGGCAAGATATCACTGCTCTAAAACAGGTTCCCAGGCTTTTTTGTCGGATCATTTATCATCTGATCATTTATCAGACAAAATTAGCTAATTGTAATTATTATAATGTATAATTATATAATTGCATTTAGCTCAATTTTGCTTATCTTTACCTTATTATTTAAATTTTATCTAGTTCCTATTATTTTAACCATTCATCCATTACTTTTAGCTTTCTATTTCAACCATTTTTTATTAGTTTTAGTGAACTCTTTCCACAATTTATCCATTATGTTTAGCCATTTCCACCATTCATGCGTTATGTTTTGCTATTTTGATAATCACCCATTACTTTTAATATTTCACTTGTTTATCCAGTAGGTAATTATTTCAATTGTTCATTACTTGTGGCAAATTAACCACTATTTTCAGCTAACTATTTGAATTTCTCTGCTATAGCGTACTAGCCTTCATGCACTCTCAATGGCTTATTTCCAATATTTCAGTATTTGGATGGTACAGTATTAAAATTATGAAAATTATAATTTCTCTTTTCTGATTTGTTTATTTATTGCAAAATCTGGGAGGTACAAGTAGCCTGCTCCTCACTTGTTGCCAAATAGCTGGACACATGATACAGGCCATAAAGCTCCTGAAGGTTTTAGCATTGGCAGAATGTTATGCTTCAAAGCAGAGTGGTGTATCTTACTAAATGTTCAATGTTTCTTCTTTCATGCCAAATGCTTTGCTAATAGCTGAAGATAAAATCCAATATTCTCTGGGGGAATATTGTCACAGAAGCTTTTGCGGATGACCTTGGCCAAGCCTCAATCAATAAGGAGAAAGAAAAGATGAATATCCTTTAACATGGCATGGAAATATTGTTTGAGGCTTTTAGAAGTAAGTTCTGGATCTATGTATTACATGATTTCTTATTCTCTGGGGACAAATTCTCCTCTGCATTTTTCCTATAAAACGCACAAGGTGAAATGTGAACGCACATACATACACACATAATCTTGTCCTACCATCCTGTTGGTACTCAACTTCTGCTGGATAGTGCTGCAGACAAGACAGGTGGCTCCAGCTCTGTGTTCAGCAGAGCGAGAACAGAGAGGAGCTGGCCAGATGGCTCTGTCCACCATGTTTTCTCAATGGATCCATTGCCACAGTTGATCTAACCGGAGCCCTTATCTCAACAGTAACGCTCTCACTTCAGTGAAAGTCATGGTTCACATACACGAGGGGAACAGGGGGAGCTCCTGATGGTTCCAGCCCTGACCACTGAGGCAAACAAGAAGCTGGAGACAGATAACCATAATCAGAGGACACATGAGTGACTCACCCATGCCTGTCCTCTTTATCAGACTCACCT